AAGTAACTGAAGGCCATCCAACTGAGAAGCAGCGCCATCCAGATTCTGCTTGGACAAATCGAGAGAATCTCACTGCAAAGTACTGGCGATACTGAAGAAGCTGGGCTGGGCTTTTCTTCCCACTCACAAAGTCCGCAAGTACTGCTGCCAAGTATTCATCGGCAGCAGTGCACCGGGAGGCAATCCTGGGCGAGGCCAAGGCAGAATGGGAAGCTGGTTTTGTGAATCATGGACGATCTTAGACATGTTCTGTTGCTCATGTTCTAAGACTTTGTTTGGACTAGACTCCTTCTGGATGCATGAGTTGTATCTTTGCTTCGGACACGGAGGTTGTTGAAGACCTTCTGTAGCAATTCACCAGACACTGTCTCATCAGTAGCCGCGTCCGTGCAATACTGTTCCACCCGGTCACAAAGTTGGGGTAGAAGTGTGGGAAATGCCAGGGGCTTTTGGTCCTTAACAGGGCAGTTCAATTCAATTCAGTTCAACTAGTTTTAATGGTCACGGGAACACCTTTTTAAGTTCTGGGCCACACTTGAATTACAGAGGGCCCAGTGTTGTCGGACTGAGGGGTTCCAACTGCCAAGAGTCTGCATATGGAGCATTATTGGCAGGTGTGCACAAGTTGCGCATGATACCCACAGTTGCTTTGCAAACACCAACTGCTGTCAGGTCTTGTTGTTCGGACAAATCAATGCCACCGAGATAGCCAGACACTTCTTCTAAGGAAGGGCTGATGCACGAGAATCTGCAAGCCAAAATGGACTTCCTTGCATCCTGCCACACACAGAACCCAGTTAAAGTAACATGGTGCTAATTTTTGTGTGTTCAACAGTCACAGTGGGAATATCATATGTTTCAATCATCCATGAATCCAAGTCTGTTACATCCATGTTAATCCCATACTTCCCAGCAAACACTGCCTGCCTGGCTAAGTGAGATGACAGTCGCTTGTCTCAGCCGTTTGACAGTGAGCAAACGGCAGCCCTCAGCCAGGCAGTACTGCAGTTGCCTTCTTCTTCCTCTTCCGGCCACCTAGCAGGCATGGTGAGGAACAAAGAGGGCCAGTGCTTGAAATGCATTCACCACACAACAATCCTTGACTTTTGCCAACAAACCTCACCATACAACCCTGGCACCCCAGCGCAACGTGCATGACATCAAACCCAATCAGTGAAGACTCTGGGGCCTTGTCAGACTTCTGCTTGCTTTTGATGACCCGGATCATTTCACGAAACATTGAAGCATGAGGTACAATCTTTCCTTCCACAATAGCATACTCCGTGTCCAACTCCGGGCCTAGCAATAATTAAGCGTGGGTGATTGAACAGCAAATGATAGTAAGACGAACAGTGAGGTGCAGCGGAACCAGCTAAACTAAATATCGCCATGTGACCACCTTTGATTGAAGCTGCCTCAGTGAACTTCCAGCATTGTACATGAAACCATATGCACTGATGATGATTCCTTTCAATGCAATTTATGCCATAGATGTGGGATCAAGAGTCTGCCAGTCGATGAATTTTGCTGGCTGCATGCTGCTTCAGTTGCCCCCGGTAGAGGCGAGTGATACCCCTTCCACCTTAGATATGTGGATCTTTCAGCTTTGATTATGTTCTTCGTTCACTGACCAAAGATATGATTCCACTCGAAGACAAAGGAGTTGTTCTTCAAGCAAAATGCCTAGACACCCTGCCCTCTACCAAAAGAGCAATCAACGCCAGCCTGCTTGCACACCCGACACAGCAGGCCATGCTCACCCATGTGAGCCCAAGGGAAATCAATCTTCCAAGTTCCCCAACGCGAGGCAGCTGCTCTGAGCTGGCTGATGGTTTTGGCGCGCATGGCAGGCTTGGTCATTTTGACAAAGAGGACAGTTTATTATTGCGATGACCATGCCATGAACATTATCTAAAGGACTAACCAATGGTTCAAATTGGTTTTTGATGGTTTATGACTTGATGTGAGAAATCAAGCATGTCCCTATCAACTTGAAAGGAGTCAATATGAAGACCAAAATGGTCTGCGGTGAGATAAGTGATCAGGACAGGTGCAATCTGAAACTAGTCAATCGGTCATGCCAAACCAATAATAATAGCTATTCCTTTAAAATGCCAGATGACCAAAGACCTGCTCGAATTCGTCGAAAACCCTCCACCCAAATTCAAGTGGCCTCAGGCACAACTCGTGCTCATGGGCAGGCCTGGCCAGGAAGTGGGCTTCAATGGGGTGCAGAATCATCGGAAGGGTGTCAGACTTAAATTTACAGCTCATTGGTCAGCAAAAGTTTCATAAGTTCAAGTCATTTTTGCGCATCCGGATCACAGTTGATCACAGCACCTGCCGCCCTACCCCTTGGCTTACAACCAAGATCTTTTTAAGCTGGGATAAATGCTAGGCCAATAGCAGTCCCATGGGGCAGTGCAGGCACTCATTCAAGAACTAGCCTGTCTCCACCACCCTTTATAATCAGCACCTGCCATGATGGCTTAGTAGATTTACAAGATCTGTTGGAAATGAGCTGAGGGTGGTCCTGAGGGTGGTGGATCGAATCATATGCTCTCAGCTGACATTCACTCCTTGGCCACCAGGTCAGCTTGATTTGGACTGTGACCACTCACTCAATGATAATCAATTGAAAGCACTAATGAAGGAAAAGTGCTCGGTTTCGAAGGAATTAAATTAAGGCAGGATGCATTTCTTGAAGATGTCCTTGAAGTAGATGTCACTGGTGTCACCGCTCTCGAAAATGTGCTGGCTCTGGCTGCTGTCCTGATGGTATCATGTCACAGGTCTCAAGGAGGTCAGTTGAACATGAAACCACAGGTCTCACTGCAACATCATGACATGGCATGAAACATTTAAAACCTTCCTCACACTTGCTGTCCTCCTGAGCAACTGCCTCCGCTATGCTTGGCTGGTGATCTCCAATGTCATCCTTCCTCAGCACGACAAGACAAAGTCAAAGCGACTACAACCACACATGATCAGGACCGAGTGCAACCCTGTCCATCATGGTGTAAGACCTGCGCATAGATGTCCATAGTGTCATGAAACCAAGGCGCACGGTTTCCTTGGATGTGCCCTCATCATCAGCAGGCATATCCATCATATCCTGGGTGACTGATCATTGTCAAAGGCTCAACTTCAAAGACTTGGCAACAAAAGTTAACATGAATAATGGCAAGACTTGGTGATGAGAACACATGAAGCAAATCATCCAAGGATCAAGAAGCCGCACAGCCAAGCATGCTTCGTGGATAGCTGCCTCCAACTTCATCAGCAGGTGGATAGGGCCCAGGTGGTGATCATACACCAGAAGCTTCCTGACTTGGCCAATGGCCTGTCGTGCCATCTCACTGGCACCTTGAGGGCACACCTCCCATTCCATGGATGCCTGAGTGAAGACAAGTCTAACCCTCTCAGACGGTCAATCATCATGAATGCTTCCAATCAATCCTCACACACCAAACTGAAGCTGAGTTGCAACTGCCTTCTCAACGCTTCCATCAGCAAGGCGTCCAGCCAGTTCATGAAGCTTCTTCTCATCGATGTCCTCGAAGCAAACATCATCCACCTTTCGTTCACCTGAGCCAGCCGGCATTCGGAAAGACTCTGCATGAAGAGCTGCAAGACATGTAGTAAGAGTGGTGTAACAGTAACTGACAAACATTGCAACACAAGTTTTAGCCAAGCTTCGTGGATCTTCACTCTCATCGAATTTCCTCTTTGGGCCCCTGACCCTCTCGGTACCCTCTGGCACCAGCTTGTGCGAAGTAGGTGGCTTCAAAATGAACTTCCTCAGATCTGATGGGATGGGGTTGATGGCTGGCTCAGGGGAAGAAGAGGTTTCCTCAGACATAAACTTCCTCAGACAAAGGATGATGCGAGACTCAGGGTACCTAAATTTAACAGCCCAGTGGCACAACCTCAAAGACCTGTGCAATGTGGCCCGGCATCTTCCAGTGGTATGGATCTTTCTGATCCACTCTGCAAAGCCTCGACCACTGAGTGGAATGGTGAAGTCCATCATCCACTTGAAAACTTAAAGAAATAATACACTGTAAGTTCTGTAAGTCCATAAACCAGTGCCATCAGCCCCTAATAAATGTCAAGCAACTCTTCAAGCTTCTTGACCTTCACGACCAAACGCTTTTCCATGGCACCCTGTTCTGAGGAAGCTGCCATGCCTAAAGTCACAAAAATTAGGTAAAGTTCTTACCTTCGAAATTATAGTGGAGAAGCCAATTGAATATCATTGAGTGGGGTCACAGATGATGAGGAAGCTGCCATGCCTAAAATACAAGTCCATACATTTGAACATCTTTGAACAATTAGGGGAGAAGCCACTTGAACATTGCCTCAATCGGCCACTTTGGCCACCTTGAGCCCCAAAGCTCTACGCTTGATGTTCTTTTGTTTCCCGGTGACGAAGGATTCCATCATTCAGATTAAATTAGGAAACCACATGCGACTGAAGATGTCTTTTGACCCTAAGACTGCCACTCTCAATCATGCCAATTCCCACCTGCCACTGCAGGTGGAGAGGTGCAGATGGCGGCCGCAGCGCCCGCAGCCAGCGCTGCCCGACCCCCCTCCACCACCACTGGTTTTCAGGGACCTTCGTAACCCCCACCTCTGCTGTTTGAGGCTCGTCTCCTAGTTTGAAATATTTTTTTGAGACCAAATATTCAAATGTGATAACTGCACCAAAGTATATAGTTATCTATGTGATTATATAATTTTGCAAATTACAGTGCACCTGCATAGACCCCAAATATCTGTTTAAACCATTTACAAAAATTATGCAAATATTAACCCTTTCCCTCAAGCGAACCATCCACCCCGGATTGCTCAAGGTGAAGCCCAAAGCTTAAAATCTGGCGAGGTGTTCTTCTTATTCCTCTTGTCCTACATGTTCTTACATGTTCTCCACTTGGATTGCAACACATACTCCACAGCCTACTGAAAAACCATCACAAGCCTTGCTTCCAGGATGCAGTACGCATGGCCACACACAGTGACGCTGCAATTCTCTGGCTTCGCTTCGTCCATGCAAAGTGGGCAAAGCACTTTGTCCTGCGCAAGTGGATGCTCTCCACATTCCCCAAAATACCCATCAAATTGCCCGTCAAAAAAATGAAACTGATAAAACACCCCCACTAGAGAAACATAATCTTCCAATCACACAGACAAACCAACATAAGAAGGACAACGCCTCGATCAAAGAGTGGAGGAGGGCATCCAACAAAACATAAAGTGGAGCACATCCCAAAAGCTCCTTTTCCTCTGTGAGATCTGTGAGTTTGGCGTGCGTTAATTTCAGTTTTGTCCAATATAACTATACTGTACATACATATTACATATAGATATGCCATGATGTGGTAGTACAATCATCTCTCAGTCCTGATTGAGCAAAGAAAAAGATCATATTTTCTCGTCTTGCCCCAAAATGATAGGTTCGCTCACCTCTGCTCGTAAGACGCAAACTTGCAGGAGCAGTCGGCCCCCCCTGGACTCTCCAAGAACGCCGAGTGTTCGGCAATTCGTTGATTGGTTTGAGGAAACATCTACCGGAAAAAAACACATAAAGTCCTTCAGTTCACTCCACAAAGAACAAGGGTTTCCGGCCAATTGTTCCTTCAAAAGTCTGGCCACCTCAGTCACAGAAGTGTCTCCTCCACCTCTTTGGTTCTCTTCTTCAGGCGATCCACCTGCGACGTCTCGTCTCGTCTCGGCGCCGTCTCAAGACGCCGCGGGGCGGCGACCCACGGACCAGGACCCAGCGACCCATATTCATGCGCCAAGCAGATGCTTCTGTGGGGCAACACAGTGATACACTCCCTGAAACCATCATGGAGGGTGGCAGTTCCCACCTGTTTCTCGAGAAGAATGATGAATGGTCTTCCACTTCACCAAGTTCAAAGCTCCTGATACCCTGAAGAGTCGAGTTCCAATCCTCGGATGTTCTGACCAAGCACCGGTTGGTCTGAGGGTCGGGCCGGTTGGTAGAGCCGTCCAACTTTTATATAATTATATAATCTATAGGATCTAGGATGGCCGTGTACCTCTTCAAACACGGATCGGGTCCGGCAATGGTTTCGAGATTGGTCGATTCAACACTGCAGGTGACGCCCGCGTGCTCGCGAAACTGGCTACACGGCAGGCCTCTAAACACAACCCTGCACGTTCCAAGCAAATGAGATTCCTCATGTCCATCAGCACTGGCGTGTTCTCCTGAAATTTCTGAAAGCAACCTTTCTATTGAAGTATTGTATAGTATTGTATGGTTCAGGATCATAAGGTTTATACACTGAGAAACGCCATCAACGACTTAACTGCGCCTGCAAACCGCCCACGGCATCCACAATCTCCTGGAACATCGGGAACACCCGCAAAGGTCCAAAGCAGGAAGCCGATGAAGGTTTTGGCATTCCGAGCCGCAAAGTGTCCAACCCCTTATATAACCCAAAGTCTCCAGGTATTGCATGTATTACATTTGGGCTGCTTCGGGGTCAGTGCATGAATTCCACAGATGAAGTGTTTGGGCAATAGATAAACAAATGTCGACGAGAATTATGTCCAGTGAACTCTCTGCGTTCGGTCCAAAGTGGAGCGCTTCTCGCATCATCTGAGAGGTTCCTGAACTTCGAGTGATGCAAACTTACACAGGAACATCCCAAACCAATACGAAGAACAGAATACCCACCCGGAGACTAACATAGACCCGAATCGACTCCTCCACAACCGCAGTGGTTTTGGGGGTCCAATGTTACTCTGCGGGATTCTGCGGGGGAGTAACTCAAATACTTCTGATGTTCTGACCAATCACTCCTAGGTCCTAGGATTCCGGTGAAGTTCAACATCAAGGAACAGTTTTTTGACCCGTGACATGCCATGCTTGACAGGACTGGAATATGTACAGTATCAACATTGACCCCTGGCCACTAGCAAGACCATTCTCCTCGATACTGACAGAAATCATATTCCACGTTCTTCGCCTCGCCTTTCCAAATAGAAAACCACTCCACTTCCATGTGGTCCATGTCATGGTGGATGCGCTCCCAAGTGCTTCCAGCACTCCGTGGGACTGCCAGTGCGAACCGCCAAGCGGCCCCCCTGGGCCCTTCAACCACCCCTGGGCCCGGCGCACCGCGCACGGCGCTCCTGAAGTTTGTCGCCGGCACGGTTCCCCAAGGATCCCCCTCGATCACCGGCCTCGAACTCGCCGCGACTCGAGCGGAGGCGGCCGAAGACGAAGCCGGTCGCAGCGGGTGGCCGTTGCGCGCGGCGCAGCCGGAGGAGGAGCCGCTCCATCGTTCGGGTCACATGTGCATGGAGGAGATTGGAGGTTTCATCTGTTCCCCTCTGGACACCGGACTACTGCTCAAACCGACCTTTCAGAGGGAAGCTGTTGACACCGGAAAATCGGACTGCCGGTTTTTTCTCGACAAACATCGGAGATCGGACTGCCGGTTTTTTGCTGCAGCTGTGAAACAGAAATGGGAAAGGATGTTTTCATGTTCAACCGCCCCCGATTCGGCTCATCCTGGCGAAGATATCTGCTGCTAGAATGGACCTCAAAGCCCAACATGAGCACCCTGCCCGGCCCTGCCCCTCCAGCAGACATGATTCCAACATCTCCATTCCGTATTGGGCCCGGCAAATGTCATGGAGTCATGAATTTGATGTGCGTGGAGCACCGAAGGAATCTCCAAATTCAGATCAGTTCCAATCCCCAAGATGACCCAAATAGAGTCTTGCAATAAACAGATTACAACCCCACAAATGGTCCAGGTGGCTTCTTGCTGTTCTTTTTACATCTTTTTACTCGCTCTTTGAACCCCACAGAGTGTTGAACCTGCCTCCGGGTAAATCTCCTCCCGAGCCCTCCAATACGCCTGATGGTGTGGCGGCGTCGTTGTTGCTGGGAGATCTCATGACCCTTGAGGAGGCATCAAGTGGAGTGAAATTCTTCATTTGCGTGGCTACCAATGGAGCATGAACCACAGCAAGTGGCAAGGAGTACTTATAAATTTCCTTTTACATCAGCATCAATGCGAAATAAAGCACTTCAGTATATTTATGTCATATGTCAGGTATTTTGTTTCAGCGCGTTGGTGTAATGAGTAGCCGCACTGTTGGAACGATGTTCAGATGGACGGTCTGACGACTGGGACACTTGGATAGCCATGCACCTGCTGATACCAAAGTGGTCCTCTGTCTGTTTCACGTGTTTTCCACATGGCGACCCAAAAAGAGGAATCTGGAGGAACAACGTCTCGGAAAGAACCCAAGCTTTCCATCAGGGTGCTACGCAAATCCCCACTCAACATGTATGGGAAACCGTTTCTATATCTATTCGAGGGGACCACTATAGTCGGATAAATATTGTTGAGTTCATGTAGCTTCTGGTCACATCATCTGGGTCGTTTGATCAGTCCAGGCTAGGTCGGCCTGAAGGCAGCGACAGGTTGTGAACAACACCTGGTTGCGAGATCAAACACCAAGATTAAAGCATGGCCTGGCCCACAATGGGCAGAACTCAAAGCCACGTCTATATCTTATTCGACTTAAGGTTTAGCTAACAAATGGAATTTTACCATTGGCCTCATTTGTGCGCAGCCTCCTGCAGCGTTCAAAAGCACGGCATGCCGGTGGTAGGAGGCACAACCAAATAAGAAAGGCAAGCACCCCGCACCCACCTTAAAATCGTCCAATGCTCTTGAGAATCAAACATTGAACCGAAAATGCATCTCAAAAACTACCAAGCGCTGGTATACTGACCATGTCTTACTTCAGGCTATCTAGCCTGGCAACCCCTTCTTTATTGCAGGGTACATTGATCCCCGAAACCACCCGAATAAACGAAAATTATGCATTCAAATGTCGACGCACAAAGCGTCCCACCTGGCCCAGCCCAGCATCGAAGAGCTCGTCCAAACGGGACTTCTCGCGCCAAAGCCTTATTGACAAACTGGTTCTTTGCACTGCGAAGTTGGCTGAAATTGGTGTTTGCTGTGCTTGGCTACCTGAGAAAATCCCCACACTCAGATGTTCCAGTCTCATTTGGTAAAAGAGGTTCACCTGCTCATCATATCTCATCTCCATACACATCTCTATACATGAATACATGAGCCGCGGGGACTAGCTTGACCAGAAGCGTCCACCCAGCGACCGGAGAAAACTGCGCGGAGGAACCTCCGCTCCGACGCTCGTGTGAAGGAAAAGAGTCTGAGATGAGATGATGAGACGCGTCGTTTTGAACTGCGAACATCTGTCCACCTGGAGGTTTGATGTGCACAAAACCCCACTGAAAGAATCTGTCCAGGATCTCCTCCCAGTTTGAAATGCCATCCTCTAAGAAGCATTCATTCAACATCAGTCAACTCCAAGACCATCCGAAAGTTCAACATCATTCAGCATTCAGCATGCATTCGACATTCGAGGGCTCTGCACCCTTGTAGGATCAAGCCTTTCCGATTCGTCGTCGAATTCGCGAAGGGGGTGATCACACAAGGAGTACATGCTTCGATCCTCATACTTCTGCGGGACGAAAGCAATCAAAAGACGCATGAGGATGCTAGGGTATTCGGTATCAGGTTCCAACATTGCTTGTGGAACCCAATACGGTGCCTTGCGGTGCCGAGTTATCTGTCATAGCCAGTGTGTTTCACTGGTGATTACTTTTCTTTGGCAGGAGCTACAGGGGGAAAACAAAAGAAACATCACAGTAACAATGTAACAACATGCACCAACTCGAACGAAATGGTTGAGGCGTTCGATTCAAAACACTGTTCATGAACACACAAACACTTAGTCACATATATATATATATATATTACTATAATGTTTTATGTATAAATATAAAAATATATATAATTTATTATATATATAGTGCCAATGAAGTTGAATTCTGTCAAAGGTTTTGGGTGCTGGGAAGTATGTGCAGGACTTTGTAGGACATCAGGACATCCGCTTACCAAATGAACTGGCTCCAAAAACGAACCACCAAAGAACCCTGGTGGTTTCTGTAATAATGGGATTTTGGCAAGCCGGATTCCAAAATGAAGCTGTCCAATTTAGCTGAGTCCGCTGCTCTTCAATCTCTCTTGCTGGACAGTAGCCGGGCTTCAACCTCGCGAAGGGAGTTGAGGTTGCCCTTCCGAGCAGCTAGCTAGGGCTGTAGACTACCAGTCCTATTGCTATACCAAAGGAGTTGGCAGGAAGTTCCCCCTCAAACAAAACTATATACAAGCGGTCTTTGGATGGAAGCCTGATCATGGATCTTTTACCTACGATCGGTTCGGTGTCGGGACCTGCTGTTTACCACGATGCCATGATGCTTTCTCCTAGCAGGTTCCTATCTGTTGCATCGCAGCTAGTATTCCAAGTGATTCCCCCTTGCCGCTCCAATGAACACATCTTCCTTGACAAACTTCCACAGCCCCTTCCACAGCCAAACGCTGAAAAACACAGCGGGCAGGGTCACGATGGCTCACGATGGCTCACATGCAGCATTTCTGCTGGACACTCATCCAAGCTGCGTGAGGCTACTTTCCCGAGCTCCTTATATAGATCTCCTTAGCTCCCTCCAAACCACCTGCTGGCGCACTTGGCAGCGCATTCGAAGGACACCTATTGAGCATGTCACTAACGATGTCCTATACAATACACGTGTGCATGGGCCTAACTTTTCTTGCTTGATTCCCTACAAGTTACGACCACGAGACTCATTTTCCGGAGGATCCTATCCAATCATCCATCCAAGCCACATCCTCTCTGGTGCCAAGAGCGGAGAAACCTCCACTCTGGAGCTGTGCGCCAGCGCGAGGCTGTCTGGCGCTGGAGCCTCTGGGCGATTGCACCATGGCCACCCCGGGCTGAAGAGCGGGAAGAACACCGTGTCGTGCGGGTTGCTGAAACCGGTTATTGAAAAACGTCCTACTCGTTCCCACTCAATAAAGGTGTTCACCTTGGTGAGGGGCCTTCATAGGCCTTCTGTTTGAGTGTTTTCTTTTAAAACCACATTGATTCCTGTCAGTGACCCAGATTTTTGAAGGGCACCCCTCGTTCCCAAGGGGTCGGTCAGGTGGCCACCCTGCAGGGATGTTCTCACCCTTCTCGAAAGGGACTCCAAGAAATCGTTGGGTTCAGTCTGCATGCATAAACCCACAAGAATCCGGCAGCGCATTGGGGTCAATTCTCACAAAGCTGAAAACCCAAACTCAATGTAAAAGGATCTCACTTGCCAATATTGAAACAACTTCCTACCGCCTCAACTGGTGCAAAGTACGCAGCTTCTTCCGATCCACTGGCTTATAAAAGTGCTCGTGCTCGCGCTTCAGGCCCTGCCACCGCAGGAAGGGCCTCTGCATCGATGATGGGCAAGTGAAACACCACCTCGGGCGATCTCGTGTCGTCTCCGGCGATCTCGTGCGACCCGTCGGGAGGCCATCTGAATCGCCCAGAAGGGCTTTTCCCCTAGGGCTCCAGTCGTATCTTCCTTTCGAAGGTGGGACTGGAGTGGGTTGAAAGGGTCCAGTCATACCTTCTGAGGAGGTACGACTGGAGCCCTAGGGTTCATATTCCCAGTGGATCCAAAATGCACACTCAGGAGGTAGTTGGGGTGGAACTGAATGATAAATATTCTGTTTTATGATGTTGATTTCATGACATCCCCCCTGTTCGGATGGTGAAAATCTCTGCTGGGGGGTCTGGGTTTTGTAAACCAACTGTCAACCATACGTGTGAACAGCAACGATCACAGTATCTGGAGAATCTAGGCCCGTGCTGCGAAGTCAGATGCACATAGACGACCCATAGACGACCCTTCATCTTGTGGATGAACCCATCTGGGCCCATTGGGCACTTCTTGGATGGTGCCTGTCATTGAAAATGGGATGTTTTTTGAGAACCCCTCAAGCTGGTACCTCTTCGTGATGGATCAGTCCTGTTTCTTCAAGCAAGTTCAACTTGAACCAACCAGAATCCGTGAGCTTGGTAATGCTCGTGGCTGGTCCCAATTGGGCACCTCATCCACCTCTGTGATTCCCAGCACCTTCTTTCATATACCTATAATGGATCCTAATGGAGAAAATGTTAAAATCTCGACAGCTCTATTCTGCGCATCCGACGCTAGAAAATGGTTCCTGTCCGTCCAAAAATGTCCAACATTTGTCCGCGGGCAGGGATAGTATCTGAACGTCAAAAATTGTATATATATATACTTTGGGTTCTATCCCATCACCTGTAACAGTGGATGATGATGGTTTACTGACTGTTACAGGCGATAGGACAGACCCTATATATATATATATACTGTGACCCCAAATAAACATATAATTAGAAAAGTAGATCCCCACTGAATAATGTATTGTAACTCGTTTCTATCTATTTGGAGGATCACTACACAAGATGTCCAACCCCGCAGCTTTCGGCGGGGATCAAGCGATTTTGCGCGGGAAACATGACCGACCTTGTCTGGCGCCGCCATCGGCTGCGATCACCATGGGTCGTCGGTGGAAGTCAGGAAGTCAGTTCTATGACATTCTATGATGGCTCTCCTGACGGTATTTCAAAATATATAAATAGGTGATCTGGGAGAGCTGGGGAGTTCAGTAATTATCTGAATTCTGGGAGTTCGCTGCGTGTGTTGAAAGACTTGGGGTCGTAGTAGGTATTGTCGGATGACTTGGTTGGATTACCTACTTCCATTCGATGCTGCTGGACCTCTTTCAACAACAAGCACCAGAGCTTCCAGTTCGTCGGCCCGAGTAACCCAGGCAGTTGTGGACGGCTTCATGGTCCTCCAGCTGGCTTCCAAGAACTGTACCTGGTTCTTAAGCATGATGAGTGAAGAACATGTGCTGAGAACCCCTAGTGGGGTCCATCAAACATTTCAGAACAAGGTGGACCCCCCTAGTTGGTTGGGTCGTTCGAACCCCATACGGGCCCCAACAATGGTGCCAAGCTTGAGCTGAACTGGACCGTGCAGGGCGATTTCACTCTTGTAACATCTGATCTGATCTACTTAATGTTACTTTTAATGTACATGTGTTGTAACTTGCATGATGACATCCGTTCTCAGGGAATCGTTCACCTACCCGAAGTCAGGTGTTCAAACGTGATCTGAACAACATCCCAGCAATATGGGGCCCTTCAAACCTTAATGGTGGCTTCAGGTAGGACATCAATTTTCACCCAGAGATCTCTCTAATCTCACATGCAGAAAATGGTTTCACTTGCTTTTTGTTTTGGAAATCTTTCCTTCCCAGGAAGCCCCCCTGATCAACAAGCCGTTCTCAAAAATCCATTCTGGTCAAACCAAGTTGGTCGATTTATGTTTGACATTGCTTGACTTGCCGTCTGGAGCTGTTCGCTGGGCGAGAACAGCACGTCAGACTTGACCCTCACGGTTGCTCCGAATAGCTGCGACACGACATATGCAGTATTGTTTTTTAGTTATGTGTCGTGCGTTATGCTATCTATGTATATACTACTAAGTACTCTACTATAATATGTAAACATGTGTATATATAATATATATAATTATAGTTATATACTTAAGCAAATGCCACAAACATGGGCACATAACAATGAGCAAATATGCTAACAACTATGCTAACATAGCTTGAAGCACACTAGAACAAATTCCAAGAGGAACTGGTGCCTATCATCACAAAGCCCGTCTTTTAATGCCAGCCGCCACGGTGTGCTCACAGTCAACGACATTGATGGCTGACTGTCACTGCGTGTGGCTTTTGCATCGGCAAAAGCAAGGGAGCGTGCACTGTACATGGCGTGCTCATGCGTGGTGTGGGTTGAAGCTAAGGCATCACCACTTGAAGTGAAAGGTCATTCTACCGAGCATCCCAACCGAGCAAACGCACAAGGACCATCCAAGGGATCACCAATCAACAGCCATACTGATCCGTACATGAATATAGACTCTTGATTCATAAACCAACCAACATGGAATTGCAAAAACCTCTTCATATGACTATGGGGGGGTTGTAAGCCAAGATTCTACATGACATGGCTTGGTTTGACTTACTACTTGCAAGTGGCCCCCCAACACGTTGCATGAGCATCGCAAACGCCAGTGGCCCCCGCCCGGCGACCGCCATGTGTGAGTGTGACGGCAAACTGAGTGAAATACTGCCGCAGTGGCGACCGGTACCCAGGAACGATGCATGGACTCTGAAAGGTCTGTGCTTATCTGCAGATGTATGGACTCCTTACTCTCATATACTCTCATGGAGTCAAAGAGTGGGGGCTCTGCAGGTATGGAGAGTTGGGGGTTCAAATCGGAGTGAGATCTCGGACCACTTCAATAAGAGTAAGTAGATGTAAGTGGTAACCTCTGACACTCAGTGAACTGGTTCCATCAGCCAAGCTGGATTGCACGACGGCCGCTTGCCGCGCCAAAAGCACCTCTTGTGCTTTCGGCGCCAGGCACGTCCGTGCGGCGTCGCGGTGTCGGGCGGTTCAGCGCACCAAGCGGGTGCCAGCACTAAGGAGTGGAAGGCTCTCAGATGCTTTGGGGCTTTCACTCACCTGAGTGGATCTCAGATGCTTTTGATATGATCTGATAGAGGGTGTCTGTGGGCCTCACACGGCCTCACCACAGATGGCCCCCACCATGGCCCTGGAGACCCCCAGCGATCGTATCAAATCACAAAGGTTGGTACTGCCCAAGCTCCATCAGGTGTCGCGATGTTCTCTTCTCTCTATATAACCATCGTTTTGGCGGGACACATAGCACCACCCAGCTAATTAAACAAAAAAACATCGATTCCATTATTTGGGTGGATGACATCAGGTCGCGCCATCGCGCCTGTCGTCGCGCCTGTCCGCGCGCAATCTAACTGCGCGATCGAGAGGCCCGCAAGGAAGGTAACGAGATGCTTTGGCTCATTCCTGCCAAGGTGGGTCCACCCAAAGTCGCGTCAAAAAACGGAGGGTTTGAACGTGTCGCTGGTCTACCAGGGGTGCTTCTTGCTGTTGAGAGACCATCGATTTTCACAGCTGAGGAATGCGTTCGACCATTGGCTTAGCGGCTTGTCCGTGAATTTGAGTCTTCACTGGGCCATCTTCTCGGTTCACACTTGCCAAAAACCCGGGGAATGTCGCTTTTTTTGTTTTGAGGAGGGGGGTGGGAGGGGTGGGAGGGTCTCAAGATCCATCCCCTGCTGTAGGGCGCCACCCATAGTCGAAAGGTAGTTTAGACACTTCTGGCACCCACCCCAGCATCGAAAGGGCGGAGTGTATGGACGACCCAGGACTTCCAAACAGTCTAACTGGGAAGTCACCTTACTAAACTCATCTGGTCCAGAAGCCAATTCAAAACCCCAGCCTTAAAGCTTCCCAGCATGCACCGAAGCATAGGTGGGCCATGAATACCTTGATGAGATCCTGTCACTCCGTGCCCTGTATGGGATTGGAGCTCCACTTTTTGGGAGGAACGAATATGGATGAATCCTCAGACCTGCCCTTCCCCCTTTCGGCACCCGGCTCGACCCCGCCTGGGGGTTGAAGACGTGTCCCGCAATCCAAGGCTCCTGTGCAAGACTGGCGGAAGTCGGTGAAGAAAAATCATGGAACAACTAGATCCATCCAGCTGTTTCACCCCCCGGGCCCCGCGATGCGTAGGGTTTAGAGATGTATAGAGGTAGATTGGATGGAACTCTTGGAAGGGAAGATCCAATCAACATTCTGAGGCATACTGGGATCTGTCTGCCCACCTATGCCCACCTTCTTTGACAAACCCTCTGGTGGTCGGCAAAAGGTATGCTAAGTTGCAATGGCCCCTTCCTGCTCTAGTGGAATTGCTGTTCCTTTCTTCCTTCTTTCCATCCTGCCTTGACGACCCACCAGCGGCACAGGACACTGGCAACTGCAAGCAGCATAGATTGACAACCCGGCCACGTGCAACAGTAATCAACAGTACACTGCAACAAAAAGCCAAGAAGCCAAGCCACTCACCACGAAGCCAAAGGCCTAGAGCCAGAACCAACATGAACTATATATACATTATAAATACAAGCAAAACATAACGTTGAAACACACAACATCAACATCCTAGAAACAGTATCCACATTCCTTGACTAGTACAGCTAGCCTGCAAGATCAAGGTGCCTTGAATGAAACTTATTTACTCTGTTAGACTCGACTTGGTAGACGCTATCCATCCGGGTATGAATAATTATTGTACCTTACATTACCTTACAAGGAAACTGGACGTGTGGGGAAACTGGAAGAATGAACTGGAAGGATAGTCGTACAAGGGCGCGGCATGATGTATTGTTCTATTGACTCGAATACGGATTATAGACGCCCTATGATGCATACAATCCTCTTCCATGTATCGATGCAGTACCTTTAAAAATGAAAAAAAAAAACACACTGAACACCAGTCCAAAGGACCAACAGCAAACCAAAGGACCAACGCCCATCCTTGTCCCGTGAACGTTCCATCCGAAGGGGTCAACGAAGACGAAGTCGGCTTCGCCGAATCGACATGCATCGACCCGATTGGGATGCACTGCCAGCGTCGTTTTCTCACGATTTCGCGGCCGAGACGAAACTGGCTCAACAGAACGTAGCGAACTACGTTCCACTCCCTTCCCGGGTGGTAGTTCTACCGTGTTCTCTGAAGATTTGGATTGTTTTTTTGAGTTTTGCATGGCCATGTCACGCCTTGAATCTTCTGAAGCTTCAATGAGCACACCGAGGGCATGCCTTAGAGCAAGTTCTCATTATGAAGAGGGTCACTGAGGCCACGCATGCTTCAAGCTCCACACTCTGGGAGTCTCTTTTTCACCTAAGGCTACCTATACCCCGGAAAACATCACTACTCCACATGCGACGTACCCCACAATTGGAAGAAACACACGCAGGATCCCCGTAAAGCTGATGAGGACTGACTGAAATGTGTAATTGGCACACTTTCCACAAAAAGAATCAAAGAGCCACCGAAAACCACAACAAAATCAGTTCTACTACCACTGACTCGAACGCAAATCAAGCGACATCGCTGGGACTCTGTACACCTTCGCAGCTCTTTGCAATGATCGTCTTGCCTAGCGTCACTCATAGTAGGACACCCGACTTTGGAGTTCCAAAGGAGTGGTTTCCAGTGCCAAGGTCGTGAATGGATGGGTACTTCCTCCAAGAAGCATCCCGGATTGGAACTACTGGTATATATATATATATATACAACATATGTAATTATTGTATATACATACACCAAAACATCTGACCTCCGCCGCTCCCGAGAGATCCTGAGCCTCCCAGACGAGGCGGTTCTGGGGGCCTCAGGAACAGCTCTGAACCGACCAAAATGGCCAAGGGACCAGTCCAAACCTTTTTGGAGAGAAACAATAACAAACGTTGGCCCAGAGTCACTTCAGCTATAATAGGCCAAGCCTTCTTTAACATTTAGTTTAGGCCTTTTGGGATATTTAAAAAAAAAAGTTGGAAGAATCAAGTGGATGGCGTCACAGGCGACCTTGGGGGGGTGCCTGGAATAGCACCTGGCTGGCGGCTAGACCACTGCAAAATCCGTGCAAAACAAACCTCATGGATTTGCTGAAGAAACCAAGACAACAAAAACGTCCTAGAAGCGGACTCACACCCGGCAAGAATTTGCATGGAACCGGAACATGGACCTCTACAACCCACCGCTTTTCAGGTTCCATGTGGGTCTCTTCCAGAGCGTAGCCAAAGGGAAACAACACCGTCACCTATCCAGCGACACCGGAGCTGCTAATAGCTTCTTGTTACTAGTAGCGGTGCACGCTGTTACTGTACATAGCTGCTTGTTACTAGTAGTTATGCCAGGAGCTAAGAATAGCTTCTTTTCACTGGTAGGGGTGTCCGCAGGGACGTTCGATTCTCGGCTCCATGGCGGGGGCACCACATTTGCGCCATAGATCTGGCGTAGAGCACGGCCCGCTGAGGTGCTGAGGCCTTGGCAGGATGAGGATGATGCACCCTCCAAACACACACACAAAATATCCAAAAATAGGATGATCCTTCAATATCCTTCAGATCTTATCATATCTTCATTTTGGGTTGGCACCCCCAAAAAGATCGCTGAAAGATATGAAGCAGCCATCTCCAAGACGGTGAGACACCTGAAGCTTCAGCCGGATCCTGTACTACTCCTGTCCTACGACCGGGCGACACACCCAGAACGGGCGTCCGGGAGCCGAGCCGAAGGTTTTCCACAGCTGGGCATTGTCCACATCCTCAGGACGTGCTCTCGGCGCGTCTCGTCAGCCGTGGAATCCAACCGTTGACGCCGAAGAAGAGACCGAGCAGGTGAAGTTTCGGTCGAGAGTCTCGAGAAACCGAAGCAACTGGTGCGGGTCGTTCGACCGACTACACCTTTTCAGGGCTTTGTACCTGATCCGGAAGAAGCGGCCAGGCTTCTTTGGGCAAGAGTGGAACCACTCCATACGGTATGGAGTACTTCCGCTGTTGTCCAGCTGGGACAAAGACTTTGCTGACTCCATACCCCTGGGAAGGCTTCAACATCTTCCAACCTCGATGTCCCTGCCCGAAACAGCCAGCCCAGTGGCACGCCGCCAGCCCTCCTTGTCCTGCAGGATGGGTTGCAGCTTCTTGGTGTCGCCTGCAGCGGTTGCGACCCGGCGCGGGTGGGGACGCCGTGCAAAGCAGTGTCTGTATGAGCGGTGATCACTTGATAGCGATATAATTCACAGTGTTATTGATATTGGATTCAATTATTGGTATCCAATGGCTTCCAAATCTGATCCAACATTATATTGTTTGCATGGTTGAATAATCCGATGCGATATAATACAATGAGGGTTAGTTGTCCTACATGTCACCTTCTTCACCATGTCAACTACAGTGTGTGCGTGTGTGCCACCTACCCTAAACTCATCATACAACGGTACAAAGTGTGGCTTGTCTTCTCTCTGTTGCTTCGCTGCAACGCATCAGCCCACCTTCTCACATACACACACACTAAGAAAACAGCTTTCTTGAAAAATTAACCCCTGTTTTAGCTTACCAGTGGCCCTCAAGCACTCTGAACAACCATGACGATTTCACTCGCCGATTTCATCACTTTGAAAGAATCTTGAAGGCTAAACGGAGGGTGTGTGGAGAAAGGGGGTCAGCAAAAATTGCTTATACAAAGTTAGTGCATCAAAAATACCTTCCACGAAGTTCTGCGAAGGTTTCTGGGATTTCGTTGCAGTCAGTTCTCCTGCTGGCCCACCATTCCACGAACTGTCCACGAACAGCCTTGGGTTCTACGAAGGTCACGCGCCTTCCACGACGTTAGTAGAATAGGTTTTTGCAAAACCCTTTCTGTGCACTACCCTTCCGTTTGCCTTTGAAATCTGGCAGCAAAGAAATTCTTTCCCCAAAACTGCGCTTGTCCATGCTTGTCCCAGTTGCTGCAGGATTGATTCCTTCCTTCCTGCCCAAAACTGTGCCAGTCACCCAAATGGCTCGCCCAGCAGTTACAGCATGTTACAGCATGTTACAGCTACTCCCAAGGCAGTGCTTCACGTTGAAAGCCCCGCTTTGGCCCCTTGCCCCGTCCCATCCGTCTGCAGCGACTCCGTCCTGCGACCCAAGGCACGTTGGATCCGCGAGACGCGGCGCGAACGCATTCGGCGCCCTGGCGGATTGAGACGCTCACGGTCAGCGGCCAACAAGCCCCTCATTCTGCGGATGGATGGTATACAAACGGGGGGATATTGGAGGTATGTTGGAGGTATGTTGGAGGAAGTGAGAGGAGTGAGAGTGTGCCCTACAAACAATTCCAATTGCATCCATATCTATCTCATCCATGCATCCTTGCACACAGCTGGATGATGTCCCGTCCTGTCTGACCATCCTCACTATCGACCTGCAGGGGCACCGGTCAAAGCCACCAGCCATCGGATCCAGTCGGTGACGTGGAAGTGAAGTGAGTACTTACCCTCCAAACCCACATAACAGTGTCTCCAATCACCTCAAAGGGTATGTGGACCACTATAGTGAGTAAAACCCACCACTTGTTTGGTCTTTGGACTTTCGTGATCCAAACTCGAAGGTCGTGTCATCCGCGATATTCCATGGGTTTGCTTCCAATCAGTGTTAAAATGTCTGCCCTTAACTTGCTACCAGAAGTTTCCATCTCGGGGCGCATCTCAAACCCAAGAAAGTGCATCTTTCTTGGCGAAATCGTCCGATAACGGCCCTCACACGGAACTTCTGGTATTGGTCAGGTTCTTCATTCCCTTGTACAGTGGTTTCAGAGTAGATGGCACAATCCCCAAAAGGTGGTTTTATGTGGACCCCATCTACAGGACATCTTCGGGTTTGTGCCATTTACTCTGAAACCACTGTAATATGTTCTACCTGGCCCCCTGTTCAATTGAACTGGACGGCGGACTCAACACTTGCTTCATGTCATGTGACTGCGACACATCACTAAGATCGCACCTTTTAGCCACAACACATGGGTCAAACATAGTTGTGGCCTATTTTCCCATGGACAATAACCAATTCCAACCCCATTTTTCCATGCTTGGGAGCACAACCCCGAACATCCCACCAATGGCTCACTGTTCGGCGCCTTTCAGCCGTGGTTCGCCCCCCTTGGAGGGCGTCAACTTGGCCTGCGGCCCGCCCGTGAGGAGGGCCACGGTATGAAGGTCGCTCACCTGGCGAGCTGAGAGGTTCTCCCGGGCATCCTGGGATCACCATCCCTAGAACCCAGTCGTACCTCCTCAGGAGGTATGACTGGACTCTCCTGGCACCCACCTCAAACACCTTCTTAGAAGGCACTTGGAGCCTTAAGGCATGTTATTTTTGGAATCAACAGTTGTTCTCATCACCGGAACCATGATGATTCCGGGGAGTATTGGGTTCGTAAAGATTCTCCCCCCAAACTCCCCCTCTTGTGACAGTTGAATCCCCGCACCTTCACGTGCTTCCGCTCAGCCAGCTGCTCCAGCGTGGCCCCAAACTCAAAGAAGTCCTCAAGAAAACGAAGGCCCAAATGGGTGTAGTTATTCTATTACACTCCCACTCACTAACACATGGAAGTGGTTTTCACCCTTGTTTGTGAAGGAAGGTAGTCTCTTAAGGGAACTTGTTCCACTTCCATGTTAGTGAGTCCAAGTGTAGCAAAAGGGAGACCCAACCGGTGGAACCCCCGGCCCTCGTAAAACAACTGGGTAGGCTGGTCCATTCTCCGACTCCATCGATTCGGCCCCACCGCATGGAGATATTGGTTAATGTGTGTAGCTCAAGTGTGAGCGGTAACAGGGCTGGGGCTGGGAAGATCTTAGCAGTGCCCCTTTGAACTTCGCTCCCCCAAAAACGCCGTCGGTTTTAAATCAAACAAAAAACCTTTGCCTGTTTCGACAAAACGAGTAGGAACAAGGTTCTCAAAGCACGTGTGGGCAACACGTGCTTAGCAATTCCTGTGAACAGCGCGGTGGAAAACGCCTCACTGAAAGTGTTCAAGCACTTTTGTGCTCCGACTGGGTCTGTGAGATTGGGAAGGCAACTGAAGCTGGAGAGGAAATGATTCACTCCAACCCAACATCTGAACCCCACATTTCTGGGGTTTCCTTTGGCACCCGCCAGGCGCGGTGATTCTGTTGAGCACCCATATCCATGAACATTTAGCCTTTGGGAAGGCGAACTGAACTCCCTCCATCTCCATCTAAACCTAAGTTCGCCCAGAAAACACCCCAAAAAACTGAGCTGAAAGAACATTCCGATCCAATGTCCAATAATTCCTTCCTGAAAACTGGTGAGCCACCCATGGACCAACTTGTTCCAAGTCCTAGCTTTTTGCCGGTTAACACCTCATGACCAATGTTTAACACCTCACGAGCTCATCCCTCCAAATCCCTACTAATACTACTCACTTGCAGTTGAACTGCCTACTCCAGCCCAAGTTGCAGGGACGGCAAGAGACCCCAAACAGTGTGTGTGAGGTCTGTAAGCAGAAAGTCTAGAGATCTAGATGCATTGGGGTCCAGAGAGGTAATGGCGGTGATGAAGTGAATGTGGGTGTGAGTGAGTGTGGGTGAGAGGGAGTGTGTGTGAGTGAGTGTGGGTGAGAGTGAGAGTGAGAGTGAGTGTGAGTGTGAGTGAGTAAGAGTGAAGGTGGGCGCGAGTGAGTGTGGGCGAGAGTGAGTGAGAGTGGTAGAGTGAGAGAGTGAGCATCTGAGAGCACAAAGTACTGCGCCTGCCACGAAATCTGCACTTCGAAGTTCACCAAGCGCTGTGCCTGCCACGAAATCTGCACTTCGAGGTTCACCACGCGCTGTGCCTGAAATCTGCACTTCGAGGTTCACAAACTGCTGTCCTGCCACGAAATCTGCACTTCGAGGTTCGCCAAGTGTGCTGCCCCTGCCACGAAATCTGCACTTCGAGGTTCACAAAGTGCTGTACCTGCCACGAAATCTGCGCTCCGAGGTTCACAAAGTGCTGTACCTGTCACGAAATCTGCACTTCGAGGTCCACCAATTGCTGCACCTGCCACGAAATCTGCACTTTGAGGTTCACCAAGTGCTGCGCCTGCCACAAAATCTGCACTTTGAGGTCCACCACGTGCTGCACCTGCCACGAATTTTGCACTTTGAGGTTCACCAAGTGCTACGCCTGCCACGAAATCTGCACTTCGAGGTTCACAAAGCGCTGTACCTGTCACGAAATCTGCACTTCGAGGTTCACCACCAAGTGCTGCGCCTGCCACGAAATCTGCACTTTGAGGTTCACCAAGTGCTGCGCCTGCCACGAAATCTGCACTTCGAGGTTTACAATAAGTGCTGTACCTGTGACGAAATCTTCACTTCGAGGTTCACAAAGTGCTGCACCTGGCCTGTGCACATCGAGGGTCACAGAGTGCTGTGCCTGCCACGAAATCTGCAAACGAGCCACATGTCCAAAAGTCACGATTCACCACCACAACGAGAGCGCAGTCGCCTGAAGGGCCTGAAGCACCCGCCGCGGACACCCAGATTCAGCGAGCCTGCGCAGTCGAAGTGCACATGGACGATGTCGAGAGTCATGAATGTACTGTAAATAGCAGCGAATTAGCCGCACATGCTCGCGCGGAACAGCGATCTAAGCACACATTCCTTTCACCTACCGTAAGAACCCCTCAGTGTCCCCACACTGCTTGGGGAAAAACATCTAAAAAATCGGATCTGGGCAAATTGACTTTTGCCTTCTGAAACTTACTGATTTGATTGTTTTTTGATTTTGACATTTGGGATGGACTTTTTTGACTTGTTTTGACTTTTTAAAAATTTAAAACAGGCTCTTTCCAATGAACATTGTTTCTAATCCTAGCAATTGAACATACATAACTATAAAAGTAACCACACACGCATAATATATATATATATATATTTTTTTACACGATTTGATACAATTTGGTAGGATGGTACGGCTGGACGGCCTCTGTTTTTTGAAGGGCAAGACTTACAACCCTCACGCTTGTGCGACACTCCTCAGCAGGATCCAAGATCCAAGCGGTTGATTCATTGGGGGGGCACGGATCAAAATCCACCTAACAAGTTCCATGTTAGGAGGCCAAGGAGGCCTCTGAAAAGAACGCTTGCCTCACATTGCCTAACCCAGCTCAAAACTCCAGGTCTGGACCGTTGTTTCAACAACCGCTTCCTGCTCTGCAGCCACGCTTCAAGGGTGCGTTTCCCATGCTCTTTCACTCGGTGGTCGTTAAAAATGAGTTCCTCGGTCAGTCGGTCGTTGAGGCAGGCTGGTCCAGGCGACCGACCGAGAGGCATCACACCCGGGAGCAGGGAACATGATGTTTGGAAGGGAACACGTCAACAAACGAGTTAATCTATAGTGGCCCCTCACCAAATAGTTTTTCACCAGGATCTTCCAAGAGACTACAAGGCAACTGTTTGTGCTGTTCATAAATCCCAGGATAGTCCAGGTATATATAAAGAACTTACTCTGCACAAATTGGTTGGAGGGCATTCTTGGATAGATTTACCTGACGTTTGCACCACATTGGTCTAGGATGATGTCCAAGTGTCTGGAGGGAAAGTGGGCACAGCATGGTGCAGCAAGGTGCCAGGATGCAGCTATACTCCATCTATTTCAGTATGTTGTTAATTTCTTGACCATTTCGATTGGCCAACTGGCGAACCATCCCAAATCAACGGCTGGACAAACTAGTATACTATTAAACGTATTAAACTATGTATACATGGATATACATGGTAAAGAATATTGACAGTATGCACAACCCTCATTTGGATTGTAAAACGTCTTCATACGGGATTGATTATTCAAGAGTCTACATTACAGTCCGCACCACATATAACCTAGATCTTCAGTCCGGCACTTTTACAGGGTCCGGCGCCGGACTTCCAACTCCGGCGTTTTTCTGGATTTGGTCCAGCTGTTTTTTCCCAGTCACTTTGTGTGGATTCTCTAGGCTTTGCATTCTTTGTGGTCCGCATTTCTTTGAAGGTAAACCCACTACTGATGCAATGATTTTGCTTGCAAAGCGTGCTCTTTTGCCTGTTCCGCTGTTTTCTCATTCCACCGGTTTCAGCATGGTCCACACTGGGTCAATCAGATCCGTTTAGGTGATCTTCTAAATGAAATCGGATGAAATCGGTACAGTGCGATGCACATGTTGAAAGACCCAAGTGGGTGTAAGAACATAGGCAAAAATGTACTCCCATTGTTTCAGGATGTCGGGGCGCTGGGATATAGTTCTAGCTGCGCAGGTTTGCAGAGCCTGCCGGACAAGTTTTGGGCTGTGGAACATGTGTTGTTCAGAATCTCTGTGGAACATGTGTTGTTCAGAATCTCAATGTAGAGACTTGCCAAAAAATTGCGCGTCGTAACTCCGGCGTAGTTTCCCGTAACTCCAGTGTAATTTCCCGTAACTCCAGTGTAATTTCCCGTAACTCCGGCGCATTTTTTTGGACTCAGTCTGCTCAAGGTTTTCAATATTGAAAAGTTGTCCGATCAAGAGTTTTGACAGGAACCATGAGTTCTGCTATTTTGGTGGAGCCGTCCTGAGGCAAGCGTGTAAAACACATCCAAAAAACATAATCATGGAGAGCAACCCACTTAATTTGTACAAAAAACTTTAGAGACACGGTTGCAGAGAGATAGGGGCTCCTTGCCACATACTCGTTGGTTTCTTCTGGGATGTCTTTGTTTGGGCACAAATTTGCTTATATATAGATATATTTTGTGATGGTTCTGCTCTTAAGGCCATTCGCAGGGTGGGCGAGGGCAATGGGAACGGGAAGGCTCCAGTGTTGGGTTGTGGAATGAGTGTGCTCCAGAGAAAGAAAGGCGCAAAGGCAGTTTGCTTGTGTATGATCCAACTTTTTATCATGATCAATCCAGACCCCTCCCGGCGCTAAAAAACATCGTTGGGTTGCTTCGTTCGGTCAGAAATGGTGAACCCTGGTGACCGAACGAATGCTTCGACTTCCTCTTCACGCCCGGGTCACTGCCACAGCTGGCGGCAAGGTCGCGTCGGTGATCTTTGTGTTGCGGCAGAACTTCCTCGCAAAAGCTTGGTGGTCGGAACTTATGGGTGTTGTGGCGTAGCTGCTTAATAATAACTAACCACTGGTAGCGGGGCAGAATGGTTATATAGAGCTTTCCCATCACAGTAGTCAGTTCCAAGGTTTTCCAGATTACTGTGAAATACAGTGCACGATGCGCACGATCAAGTATTCATCGACCAAACCAATTCACCATCATTCACCATTTTGTCCACAAACCATGGGACTCACCTTCTTGATCTTTCTTGCCAACTTTTTGCTATTCAACATCAACTCAGGGTTCAACCAAAAAGTTTGCCAGTTTTCATTAAAGGGCTGCCATCACTCATAAACCCCCGAATAGATACCAAATTTGTCCTCAAATCGAAACACGATCCTACTAGTAGTCCTAGCACATGTTTGCCACTTGTCACCATCCATGGATTGGTGGAATGATCTTTCGTCACACTAGCTCGAGCATATTCCAGAATGAACTGACCTTTTGTGCATTGGAATATATATATATATATATATTGGTCTTTATATAGCAATTCTGGTTCAACCACGGCGGGTCATACACAAACACCACATCCTGAAACACTGCCCGAGACTGCTAAGGAGTGCACCCCCTACCAGCAGGAACGCCCAGCTGCAAGGATTCCGACAACCAAGTCGGTGGTTATGAATGATGCAATTTGTTTCAAGGAAGCTCTGTTGAACGGTTTGCTCTTTGATCAATGCGATTGGGATCCACGGAGTGTCTATGAGTATCTCAGTCTTCTACCTCTTGACCAGGTGGCTGGTCCCATCGGGAAACATTTTGTGCCAAGTATCACAAAGTCTTTCATTTCCATTTCCTGATTGCGCTGATTGCCGACCCAGGGAATTCCTCCACCATGGGCACTGAGGCACTAGGGAACGCAGGTCACCCCTTTCCATGTTTTCCATGCTATCTACACTGCTCCAAATCTGCCACACCCTAACCATCCCTAATCGCAATCTGCAATACGAACAGTCATGAACAATCCAAATTTTGGCTCACCCTGTTCCCATGTGCAATTCGAAGGCTAATCGGTAATCCGTAAACCTTGCTGAGGCAGGTTTGTGGACGTGCAAAATTTTGAGATGAAATATCCAAAAAGGGTTGCTGAATGGAAACGCCAAAACAAAAGAAACGACTGCCAAGTCTTCTTGGATTGGGTAGCCTTTCCGGGATTAAGCTGCAACAGAGTAGACTACGCGTGGTTGTCTGTCTGATTGTTTTCGTCAATATTGAGACATGTGGGTCAGCGCTCAACCATTTAGTGGAGTGTTTCCTTCCAAAGGTTGCCAATATATCCAAGAATTAGTGAATTTCATGGCCGTCTTTCACGCGATGTCCTTGGCACAAGGCCAATGATGAACCAAGGTAATATTGTCACACCTTCAAATTTAGACCTGCGATTTTCGACATCCGGTACAGTACTGGTAGTTTATCATTGTGTGTGCACAACCAGGGTCAGACTGTTCCTTAGAGTAATGAATTATAATTGTCACGGTTGAAACAATTCACCAAGAACCCACTGGTTGCTGAATATCCCGTGTCTGCTGAATATCCCATGTCTTGAGACACTCTGCTTCGCAGTTGGTCTTTGTAACTGATTGGCCAGTAATCAAAAGGTGCGCGGAGTTTTTGCATGTGGTTCCCAAAATCAAGATCAACCTTTGTAAACATGTATCATACGAACCCCATCTGCCTGAGAAAAGCCTCTGCAGCATTTCACCACCTCCGTCACCATATTTCAGCCATGGCGCTGTCTTCCCCGGGCCACAGAATACGTAGAAAACTGCATCCAATCCATCACTGTCAATCTTGGAGGCATTTGCGATGGTCACGGTTGAGCGCCATAAGCACAGAATTGTTGTTCTATTTCAGAATTCTACAACGATACATCTTCCCGCTGACTTGGGAAAACTTGCGTACTGGGAATAGCGCAGGCCTGTGAACCGTAACCATCAGTTCCAAAAACGTAGCGTGTAGCTGGAAAACGTTAGCACGTAGCTGGACCGATCATCGATTTGCAGCGAGTTGTCTGATTCGACTTAGGGCATTCTGCACAAAGGAGACGGCACAAAGGTTTTCGAACGTATGTATGACAAAGGGACATCTCAACTTGGTGGCCCAAGCACGCCAACTCGGAGGGACGCCCCGCAACATCCGGCGACAGGCCCAAGCAACTGTGCAGTCGAGGAATCGCGCAAACATACCCGCCCAATGCCAGTGGAACTCCTGAAAGCCTGTGGAATAGTCGTGCCGTGCAGATTGATCAGATTGCAACGAACAAAGTGCTGCCAGCTGCGTGTCCGACTTCACTCGACTCACAGAGCGCGGGATGGGAGTGGAATATTGTTACCAACTGCTGCATGATCCTGATCCCTGAGGTAGTACTGCCCGAGGAATGGGGAATTGTATGGATATGGTTAGTGCATTCTGAACTGCAAAGGTTCTTAGCCGAATGTCATGGGATGGACATAAAGGTTGAACGATACACGTGCTCGTCTGCAAATCCTTCTATGCTCATGCGCCAATGATACATCTTGTAGGGAGCTGCAAGACAAAATGACGATGCAGTGGGTTAGAGTAGATGGGACACTGCCCAATGTCGGTGGTTTATATGGCCCCCCACCTGTCTAAAACATCTGGGGCTGCGGGACCTCTGAAACCACTGAGTACATCGACACGTGAACGATACATTTCGTTCATCGATGTCAAGTTCTGGGACAGGCCGGTTCGTGATCGACTCTTCTACGAGCTGATTGAACGGCCGTGTGTAGGCCGTTAGAATTATATAGGCCATCCATTTCTTAGATGAGAACAATTACAGTATATATACCAGCATAGACCCCAAACAGTTTCAAAACGATTCTTTGGACCAATGTTAGTCAAAAGCGACGTCTTGGTACGCCCTACCTTCCCCCCCCAAGAGCAAATTGCTTCTGTTGACCATACTCATGAAAAATTGACAATGTCCAATGCGTCTCACGATATCTATCAACAATATGAGGCGGGCCCCTACGCGATTCCGCTTCTTTCGCGGGCGTCCGGTTGGATGTCACCCAGCAGTCTAAACACTCGGCCACAGAGTTCAGGGGTGCCGCCAGTCAGTGTTGCCAGGACTGGTCAGCGCGGCCAGGACAACAGCAGGACAAGAGGAGGACAAGACCCGGCCACAGAGCCCGGCCACAGAGTTCAAGGGCGCGGCCAGTCAGTGTGGCCAGCTCCTTTTTTCTCAAAAACCCAAACAGTAAACTGCTTGGGGACATATGCTAGCAGAAATGAGGGACCACGGCGGGCCAGAGATAAAGCCCTGGATGGGTCGGATCCACGGCACCCCCTTGTTTTTGTTCCCATTGTGACGTCGGGAGTTCCATGAGTTCTGGGGGAGTTCCATGAAGATTCGATCCGGTGTAGCACTCAAACACTCCACGGGACTGGAATAGTTAACATTGATTCCTGAAAGCACCTTGAAATGCACGCACATATTTGCCTTAGATGGAGTGCCAGGGGCATTGTCTAGCAAATGTTTCTCTGACAGCGGGGGCTTTGATGGGTGTGGCTCCAAGATCAACCACAAAGGCTATAGAACCACAAAGAGGAAGCACATATTCACACGAATCATCATGAACTACCACCTCACTGAATATCTCAAGTTTCTGGACATGAGACAGTGGAGCCTGGCCGGAAGACAATTTCCCTGCGAACAGATTGTGATTGGTCTCCGTTAGTGTTTGATCGAGGGGGTACCTCCTGCATTCGGGCTGACATCGCAATGGTTTTGGAAAGCCTGGTTTGGCCATTGGCTTCTACAGCCGCCCAGGCCCTTTCGTCTACTTCCAAGGTTACATCTGGTAATAATATTGTAACATGCAAGGTATATCAGTATATCCGTCGGAACTTCTGCTGAACAGTTGACCCATAACACATTGACAGTAAGGTAGATGACAGTTGTCAGCCACCAAAGGCATTGCAAAAACTGTGCTACTATCTTACCTTTTGCATCTGTTCCCCTATCAGTACTGAGACATGGCCTGACCATGAATTCAAACCATACAGTACATGCACTCGTGACGTTTTAAGTAGTGGGCACCTGTGTTTAACAAAAACAGGGCACCCTAGAAAACGCGCTGAAAATGCAGCGAACACGGTGCAGACCGAGGCTTTTCTTGCGGTCCATCTTCAAGGTCCCGTGTCTGGGGGGGGGATCACTGGGCAGTTGTCCGCCCCAAGTTTCCATCCCTGAACTTTTAGTTTATGCATATTTGTGCATGGGATCATCGACTGCAAGAAGAAACCTGTGGCAAATCAAAAAAGATTGTGACCTTTTTGCCCAAGGGATCCCATAGAATTTATGTAAGAACACAATTGGACTTTATGCACAGGAGATCGGTTGAATCGGTTCGCTCCTGCAGTTGAAATTGCGCAAGCGCATCTTCCTTTGGTTTTGTGTATTGCCCATATATCATGTATCATCATTTCTCATTCATAATATATGTGACCCTGACCCTAAGTTCACTGCCCAGGCTTTAAAGGTGATTTCTGACCAGTCGGCCTTTTCAAAACACAGCGGACAAAAAACGATCCATCATGATCCATCTACCGCATTCATGTTTAAGATACAACTGCATGTTGGACTTCCAACAAATCACAATTACGTTTTTGGTGCGATGTCTGTTTGTCCTGTTCTTCTGCTAACTTCCAAAGACCACGGGACCACGGGTTGTTCTAAAGATTTCTGGCTCCACCGGTGGTTGGCCTTTTAGATTCAGGGCAGGTTCAGCTCACTTGTGAGTCAAGAACATACAGTAAGACCTGCTGAGCCATGCTGAGCTCAAGGCTGGTGCCAGGATTGTCTTCCCTGCACGAACGGGAGGAGGGTGTATGTGCCACTCCCTGAGTCATCTAAGGGAACGCATCACGTTTCCTACCTTCCTCCTACGTCTTCCTATTCCACTGCACGGACAGAATTAGAGACATTTAAAGAACGGCAGGAGATGTCAAGACGTGAGGCACTCTCATCCCACTACACACAATGAAGCTGTGGATGAGAGGGGGAATCCCTGTGCACCTGCAATTGTTTGATCTACTTGTGAACTGTTGCTCAAGCTGTAACTCCAATTTTCACGTAAAGTGCCTAATGAGTGTGTTCAACATCTTGGTTCTTCCGATTCATCGCCTGGCCGTTGATTCAGCCAAGGTCTAATTGCATTAAAGGTCCAATTGACTCATTAACTGACAGTATGCTCTTGAGAGCCCTCTATCTAAGTGTGTCATAAGGAACGGCTCCCCATCCTTCTGAACAGCAAAATGATCTATTCCTTTTTGTAGCTTCGGTTTCTTTCGGGGGCACCCTAGACAGAAAAAAAAAATGCATTGCAGTGGACAACATGCATCGCAGTACTATTCTTGAACCTGCCCCTCAGGCCCTCGAGGTTACGTCTCCATAGATCAACCGTCGCTCCCTGTACTTTTTGACCCAGCACGCGTGACAGGCCGAAAAACACCTGCTGGGTTATTGTAGGGGATTGCCAGGTGAAACATACACGGCAATGCCCATGTGGATGCTGAGACCATCAATGGCAAGCCCTCGAGATAGGCGTTTCAATGGGTGCACACACTGTTTCCCCTAAGCAGGGCAAGAGCACCTCGGAACCCCCAAAATCTCCTCCCCCTTTTCCTTATGCACCGGCAAACGGCAAACGGCTTTTCTCAGGTGCAAAGCCGAACTCGTGCGAAAAAACACGACCGTCCACGGTACAACCGTCGTCGCTGGTCGCCAGCCTTTGAGCACTTCCTTGGACCCGGTCCCTCGTCTCATCCAATTGGAGAACTCCTCGCGGGATCACCGGCGGAGGGACGGCAAGTGAGAGGCAAGTGAGAAGGACGGTTGGGAAGGTTTTTTTTGCTTTTTTGGGGCGAGGCGAAAAGACGGAAAAGCAGGACATGACAGGTGACAATGGCAGAGATGAGTTGTTGGCTTTGGGATACTTTTGGCCAAGAAGGATCTTGGATGATCCTAGATACGATCAATAAAAGGCGTTTCATGTTACCATCCACCACGAGAGATGGTCTATCAATGCCTTGGTTCAGCCTTGTCCTTTGCGATCATGGTGGTCCTGTCAGGTCTCGTCATCATAGATCAGTCCTTGTAGGAGATGACCCCATCCTCAGTAGCAGCATGTCACTAAACACTGCACCACTGACTGGGCTACGGATCTCAAAGGGGCTGGGGCGTTGAACACGTCCAGCTCCAAAATCCACTTTCAAGAGTTCTGTTCAGAATTGGTTGCATTCGGCCCTTCAAAAGGCACCCTCGCCTCTACAGTTACGCGCCATGATCATGTTCAGAAAACGATCTGACGGCGGTATAGGGAAAAAAAGGACCCGCTTGGTATAAACCTATAGCGCATGATATGCTAGCCTAAAGCTGCCGAAAAGGAATCTTGTGTTCTCCCTCTCTCTCTCTCTCTCTCTCTCTTTTTCTCTCTCACACACACACACTCTCTTCCTCTCTCTCTCTCTCTCTTTCTCTAAATCTATATATATATACCTGGAGCCATTTGACCTCTGTTTTGAAAAAACATATTTTGGGGATTGGTGATCCAAAATAGGTATACACGCATAATTTGTAATATGCTGTACAGTAATATGTACGACATGTGTGTGTGCATAAACGTCTCAGCTACAACTGACTTGATTCGAAAAGGATTCGGGCAGGTGATGTTGCAAGGACGGTGGCGTCCAGGACCTCGCAAATCCAACTTGGAACCGGTGTAAATCTAGCTATGGCGGCAATGGACTCTGGACTAGAGCTGGTAGTTTCATGGTCCAGCCCGCTCCTGAACCTTGAGATTTATAGGGTGTGCAGCGTGCAGAAGGAGACCCCAGCAGCCAAACCATCTGGCAAAATCAAAATCCATTAAACCACCCTGGGAGCCTCGTGCTACAGAGCCAAAGGATTCATCCGCAACTCTGGATGTTCGGGAGGTTCCTCACATCAGGACCAATCGTTGCCTCTCAAAGGCTGGCATGCCAGTTGGGCACCTATACAAATAGTATAGGGGAACGCCATCAAACCGGTCCAACCGATTTACTTATGCCCAGAAGTTGTGGCCCACCATGTCTTAAATAGCCCGGTCATCCCGAACCACCAAACTTGGCTTTGAGGATTTCACACAAATCCCAGAGCTATGACTGCAAGTGCTCCAAGTCAAAACATCGGGGCACCAGGAGACCGACCGGGCCACAACTCCGGTTTTCTGGTCGGACCCAAGTCGGCGGGTGCGGAAGCGCACCTTTGGTGGTGCAGCCGACCAGCTGTCGGTGCAGCTTCGGTCCCATCCCATCGGACGGCCAGGAGCCCATGGGAACCGACGTGCGGATCGTTCGGAGCGGCCGAGCCAGTGGTCTCCCCATGCGGCTGTGTATGGGCCGGACCCTGGCGGGGTAGACCAGGAGGTCCAACTGGGAGGTCTCTATGATAGACATTCATGCACACCCCACATCCATTCCACGAACGTTCTGGGTTGAAGGACGTTGCTGGTGTCCAAGTCATTGCAAATCTTGTGCACCTCTTCCTGCAGCCACCCAGGGCAAAAGCACAGGTGCCACTCAGGACATGTTAGTGCTTTTGCTATCAATATGACACCCGCCCTTCGAAATTGAAAGCCGATATATATCCCTGCAAGTCCGAAGTGCAAGTTAAATGAGTACTTTTTCGAAAAGAACAAGTTTTACGAGTACCTTTTGTTTGTCGGAACCCAAGCCCTTTTATCCAAGCGGGTTCAACATCACCGCACTTTTCCGGCACATAGAACCTGCAGGCTATACACCAATGTTTTTAATTCATGCAAACAAAACAACTGAGACCCAAACGTCAAACATTGCAAAATTAAAAATACTGGTCACGATTTCCTTACATATTGCAAACATTCAGGGGACGTTACGGACCTGTTACGCTCCAGAAACCGCTCCTGTTACGGTTTTGGAAGATCATTTGCAGTTTTAGAAGTCTCCTGGAAGGGGTTGTTACGGAACTGTTACGCTCCTGTGACGCTAAATAGTTGGCCAACAATTCAGACCTCTTTGCTCTTAATGTCGAATAATTAGCCGTAAAACCACCAAGAACACCTGGAATATCGCCTTTGATTACCTTCCAGACCACCTGAAGAGATCATGAACACTATTTTTGGCTTTAACGGAACTTTAGTGGGACCAAGTAAAACTGGGTTCTAATAAAGTAAATAGTGGTCATTGTCTCCAATTCGAACAAGTTTAACGAGGTCATTGACTTGGAGGGATAGATTATACAATAGACTCAGACTTGTTGGGTTCCTAGGCGCTGTCTGCTTGGGATGTATGGTGGCGCTGTTCAGCAAAAGAACTCTAGGCTCTAGGTAAGTTGGTGATTTGTTCAGATCAGCAATACGTAAATAATGTAAAACGACTTATAAAACGCTAAAGAGAAAAGACACAATCTTTACTTTCAACAACTGTTTTCGGGAAGCAACTTATATAACGTGATCCTTCCACATTCTGCACATCTCCTTTCTGGATAACTGGCGTCCTTCAGAGTTTGAAGAAGGAACATCCTCCCCACATGCCTGATTGAAGAGGAACATCTTCCCCATGGCATTCCGCATCTCCTCCATGTCAAGGAACCCATCGCCGCTCAAGTCGTACCTAGAGGTAGGTAGGTCAGCTTTGGGCTCATGAGTCGTGACTTGATCTTAACTTCGTCGTGCCCAAACGGATAGATATAGATTAAGCCTTAAGCAATGAGGGCAAAATGTCCCCTCTAAGCAACCCCCCGCACTCCGCATTCCGCCCGAATCTTGTCGACAAGCTGAAGTCGGGAATGAGGACAACACCGGACTTGGACACAAGAATACACCATGGTACACCTGCGATGCTGTTTGGGGCCACCGGAAAAGCATCGGATCTCGACGATCTCGATCAAATTTAATCTTGCACTAGGGTTACATAGGAGCGCTTCACTAGCTGTTGCCAGCCAGTAAGAAAGCATCTTATATTCATGGACATGAACAACCACCGAGCAAATAGCTAAGTCATACAAATTCAAATGCCAATCAATCACCTAGCCTATATGCCACCCCATCTGCCTTTCGACACAAAACTGCCGAGTCGCATGTCGAAGGCCTCCTTCACCCGCTTCTCTCTCATGGGGCCGGTGACAGCTTTCAACTTACTGGCCAACTTTCCTGGGCGAAAGGACTCGGCCGCCTTCGCTCGCTCCCGGGTCACCGGTGGAATGGATGTGGCCGACGGGGGGAAAATGGATGAACTCCTTGAGGATCTGTGTAGCTCACTTGCAACTCAGCCCTAGAGCCACTACAGCTAGGTGCTGGCACCGCGATATGGTGGTGCCACTAGCGCCGCAGAGCGCTTCGACGTCCAGAGATCGTCGCAAAAAAAAAGACGTTTCCGCTCGTCGCCGTTTCCTTCAGCAGACGCAGAAGAAAGGTACTTCATCCTTGTTCATTATACAATGAAGCATTTTCAATGGAACAAAGGATGAACCATGGACATTCCAAGTCGATGAACAAAGCATCGCATTGTTCATCCCATTTGTCAATGGACATTCCGGACACCAATCTCTGCGCAGCTGCCGAGTCTCGTGCAACAACTTCTCCTTCCTTTAGCCAGGACAAAAACTCTTTATAGGAGACCTGACCGGGCCAAGAAGGACGCCCTGGAAGGGGTTCTATCTGTCTACGCCCGTTTTCTGTCTGTCTCCAGAAAAGACTTTCCCTGTAACATGAGAACTTCCACATCCCCCGGGGATGGGAGGCGTGGCCGTGCATGCATCTGCATGTTCGACACGTGCCTGTGCCAAGGTCCGGCAACATGCCCAGCCCTTGGATAGTATTCGTGGTTGGATTCCGACCCGGACACACCTTTTTGTATTAAAGTGCCTCCCAAGTCCATGTGGCATGCGACCGGTTGAGTCCCTGTTCACCGGTCACTTTATAGGCACTTAATTGTATAGTGGCACCCAAGGAGGAAAAATAATGAAAAATAGAACATCTGCACGTTGTTTTTTCCGTGTTTTGTTTTTTCTGAGTCCTTTATTTCCGTGTTTGTTGGTTGGTAGTTGATGGATGTTGATGGATTCCATCTGCACATATTCCAAAAGCTATGATCAAGTTGCCTCACCGCTGGCAACAGGATGATAAACACACAATGAAAAGCACCAAACACAACCAATCCAAAGAACACTTCTAGAAACATCGGTGAATTCAACCAAGCGGTGGCTCGCCACGCTTGTCCATACATCCATGCCACTCATGTGCATGCTCGGCCAACACAGGTCCCTGGAGGCCCATTCTAGCCCATTCTTCAGCTCGGCCGCCTTTCCGTCCTTGCTCTTGTCCAGCTCTTGTAGAATTCGCCTCAAGACTCACCCCACAGCGGACAGCGGTTTGCATGGTTGGTTCATTCTGGGTGGATTGGTCGGCCCAACGGTTTGCACAAAAAAGAATCGGGTTGCCATTTCCTGAGTGAGGAAGTACTGTATAATATCCCCCAAGAGATTTCTGGAATCCCCGGGGAAGGATGAATGCACTCTCAACAAAAATGAGTCCTCCAGCCTCATCAATCAGCTGAAGCATTCTGTAGTGAACAAAGTTCTTTTCACTAGAAAACGCTCTTTGCACGCCTTTTCTACCCGGGTTTCGCACATCCACATTGCTGTCTGTACCTTTCCATTTTCTAGAAAGAAGCAGGTCCTAAATCTATTTCTATATCTTTAAGATTAAATTTTAGATATGTTTAATATTTGTCGGTAATGTTCTATCTAAATTCATTCTTGACTCATCATGATTCATCATGTTTACTAGAAAATGAAGAACACTGTCTAGAACATCAAGGGAACAGCAAATTCAAGAAAGCAAGGTGATCCTTAGAAAATGACATCTGATCCATGCCTAATGTCCTGTGTTTCTCGGTTTCTAGTCAACCATTGGGGGTGTGTTTCCCACCCTTTATTTGAGAAGGACCGTTTTCAAAAAGACGTCAACCCCTCCCATCCTGTAAGCCAAATATCATGGGGTATATATTAACAAGTTTAAAAGGACGCGATTATGGAAGTGCATCATGATTCAGATGTGTACCTAGGTCATGTGAGATGTTGCTTCTGGCTTATTGTTGAGGCCCGCTTGTGCGGGACTAGACGACTAACCACGAGTTCACCATGGCCGCGCTCCGTTGTCCGAACGCATCCGACCCGGAGCCTGCGAGAAAAAGAGTGTTGAAAAAGAGGGTGTTTTCTGGGGCCAGGCAGCGTGGCCGATCAAAGTCTACTCCGTCTCTGTGATTCTGGCTTCGGGACCTTTCAACATCTTTCAACAGCACCTGTGCCATGGATCACCTGAAGAGGCGAAGAAAGACACGCCCAAATGACTTGCAGGGGCACTACTCCCGGATCCACATCTCTTCACACAGGGTATGCGAAGAACCCTGCCAAGCCTATACATCAACAAACACGTGTCTCCTCACCCTCTCCAATCAGGGTTCAATGGATCCATTCGGATCTTAAAGCGTTCTCCCCGGCGTTCGATGTTCTCCCCGGTTCTGAGAACACCCCGACTGGATCTCTGATGTGGTGATCTCGGAGTCCAGGACTCGCAACACCTGGGATCTCCACCCGAAGGAAGCGAATCCTTCTTCCCTAAGGATCCGAACGGACCCTCCTTGGAAGGGGTCGAACCCTCTATTACAAGGGTTCGTACCCTCAAAAACCCTCAAAACCCCTTGTTTTTGAGGGTGCGGATCCTTAGGGTTGGATTGTTTAAAAAAAACGGCTGGGCTGGCACGAAAAGACTTGGGGTTTGAGATGGAAATGATGCCACCCGCTACATGGATGAACTCACATGAACCCGAACTCCCAAGAACAGACTCCCTGGACCATAAATTAGGCTAGACCTTTTTCTACCATGTTCCTGTTTAAGTGAGGAAATCACTCCCCCAAAACAGGGTTTTGCAGGCTATCCACTGACTGTGTATGAGAAAAAGGACCTCTCCAGGACCCATCTCACGGCCTCTCCGCTGCGATCACACCACAGCTAAAGCACCGGCCAAGTGGTGTGGTGGTTTAATGGGACAATGGTCCAGTCCATGAAACGGATGAAATTGTTATGATGCCTTGCCGGTTTTGACCCTGTAGAACGCAGGGGTTTGGGACCCTCATTCCACCTTCACCTTTGAGCGTCCTTAATTCTTAGAGTGACCATACCCCATCCATCATTCCCACCATCACCGATAAATCGGTGATTCATGTCCATGCTGTCGTCCCCAAAACCCCCGGTCATGCGGTACTTGGGGTCGTGCTTGATACATTGACCCATCCAAACAAAGCACCCCATAGGCACATACGGCACAGATGGCAGTCCCACCTCTTCCAAAGCACCATAGCACATTAATGCACATTATACATTGACCCATCCAAAGCACCCAACAAAAGCATATCCGGGCTCCGTTCGTACCTCCTCAGGTACGGTATGACTGGACCCAAACATGGCACATGTGGCCCGTTCCGCCTCCATCGTGGTCGTTTCTGTTGGGATTCCCACCTTCATGAGCTCATGTCGTTCCAGTACTCCGCTCCCATCCACATCGAAGCGGTCGAAGATCCTGAGGGGATACCACGACGCGTACCGCCGCGGAGGTAGATGCGTTCCAAACCAGCGGAGGTGTGGAGGATTTGGAGGTGGAGCGGTCCAAAACAAACATGGCGGCTGGGTAGTCTATATAATAGTCCAAGAGTCCAAGATATAAATGGTCTATGGCTTTATATATCTCTATGGCTTTGTATGTATATATATATAGCAGATTGCCAAAAACAAAAAGATAGGGAGAGAGAGAGAGAGAGAGTCATCCTGGAGTACGGACATGGACCAGTTTCCATTTATTATAAGATTGTCTGGAATGATCCAATGATGCTTATCCATCGCGATCTGCTCCCGCATTGCATGTTGATGTCCAAAACTTGGGAGGATATATAAAGTGTTTCTAATGAATCAAATGTGTGCCCGGAGCTCAAAGAACTCAGTGATGAACTAGTCTCTCTCTCTCTCTCCCTCCATCGCCCTCTCCAGGAGATTAGCCTTTGGCTAAGGCGAGCAAAGGCCCTCCTAGCCCTCGATGTGAGCGTCAGCGAGCAAGTGTGTCGACAGTGATGAACTAGTGGTCCAGTGGATTTAACCAAAAAGAAACACTCGAAACGATCCTGAGAGGTCCTTGCCACGAACCCGTTCAACATCTGGTGATGCGCTGCTCGACATTCCTATTGACATTCACAGAACCCCCACCCCCAAGCCATTTCGAATCTCCACTCCCTCCCCCGCCCTCCCGATTCTGTTGTCAGGTCTCTCGCTGACTCGAGCGCCTAAGGAGTCGCCGGTGGCCGCCACGATGGAACGCAAGAGGTGCGTCTGGGTGTGCACATTCCGGCCCTTACCCACGAGCCTCGGACGGCCAATGCGCTCCAGGTCCGGACCCCATGACACTCGGACACTCCACGTCCGACGAGGAGGGCCGCGGCCGTACCTGGTATGACCGCCACTGGTTTCGACCGCCCCATTGGGGTGGTTCGAGGAGTCAATCTAGGCATGTGTATTATATAGGCATATATGCCAAACATGGAGTGTCTGGGACTAATAAAATATGTCAATTATGCTGGATATCGCTGGATTGATGGACTTGACCTGGTGTTTTTGCACTTGATGTGCAAACAAATAATTGCTGAAAGACGCGACCTAATAGTCCTGCGATGTTTCATCATTTCCATAATCTATAGAAAGCACATCAAATGACATCTTCTCAACCCTCGGCAAAAACACGAGACAAAAACACATCTTAAAAGAACAAAACTCACCAGGTCCACACGGATGATTTTGGGGCGCCCCACCAGGTCACGAACTCGGGCGTGGTGTACTTCCCGTCCCCATCGTCACCTTGAACGTGCGTGCGCCGTGCGCGGTGCGCGGTGCGCGGTGCCGGTACCGCGCACGGCCGGTCGGAACGAAAGACTGGGGAGGACTGAGGGGGTCGGAAGGGGAGACTGGAGATGAGCAAGAACCTGCTTGGGGATCAGATATGGATCAAGTCCCCACTGGAATCACCTGAAGCAACTGGAAAGAACCAAGCACCCTGGCAAAAGAGCACCATTTTACAACGAAGTGACGTGCGTACCCAGTCTGTTAGTCGCTTCTTGCCTCTATGCGATCCCACTCTTTGGACACCAATGAATTACACTACGTGATTTGTTGTGTGATTTGTACCAGTCCTAGTTACCCAGTGTCTAAATGTTCCTACCAGGAGTCACAAAGGGGTGGTATTTAGTCCCTAAGTGAGTGGATAATGGGCACCCCTAACCTCCATTAAGCACCTCTTTGTGACTGCTGGTACCAGGGTTTCCACCAGATTCTGAGGGCGGAAGTTCACGGGAAAAAGCACTGGCAATGGGGAAAGGGTGCACGGAACTGTCATCAAGTTACGCCATCATTGATGGGGGTTATTTCCGTAAACCAAACTGATCTAGAATCTATTACATGTATAAATTATACGTACTGAGACTTGCCACAGTCCTTGGCTGAGTGCTTCCGCCTCTCCAGTTGCCACACATCCCCCCAAGGCGTACCACATGGTTTCATTGCTAACTTGATGGCGGTAGACTCCAAGTAACCTTGAGGGAAAAACAATGTGGTTTTAACGCCCCTTCGTAGCTGCCAGCATCCTTTGTTGACGACCTACTTCCTACGTGGCTTCAATGTTTCTGGGTCGTTGACAAACTTCTTCACTCAACAATGTTGTGCTCCCACATTTGTTTGGAAGTGACCAACCCCGTGTGATGGTTTTCGGACCCAACGTGTCTTCTCCAATTCCATGCCACTACCTGTCCTCAGCCTGTCCTTTCCTATTCTGTCGCAGGCCCGCCGCCCTCCACGTCCATCGACCCAATGTCGCCCCCCCTCCCTCCCTGCGCACCGTCAATCTCTCGCAGCACCTTCTCCAGGACCTTGTAGCCTCGGATGGAGGGACCAAACTTCTATTCCCCGCCCCAGCTTTCCAAGTGAGGAGGTGATTCGGGTGGGTGCCGGGGGGGGGATTTCATCACCTTCTAAGGATATGTTTCTCAGCCCAGCCAGGCCTTTTCCGAACCCCATTCAAGGACAGAGGGCACCAACCCTGTCACCGAGACCAAGTCACTGGTGTTCGGTGCTAGGTCGTTGAGCATCTTCTGCATCTCCGGCCTCCGCATCGACGACCGTTTTTGCGACCGTGAACGGTCAGACCAGTGGATGGTCGGAATGGATCATGTGGGATCATACGACATGGTTGTCCGACTCCATACTCAAAGCCCAATCCACCAAGCAATGGGTGTTCGTTCGATGTTCTTTGCAGGTATGTCTGGAGGTCAATGTCTACAAGGGGCACTACAAGGGGCATGAAACGGAGTGATCCCAAAAACACAACTTGAGGCCGAGGGTAGGTGACGAAAGCTAGCAGGGATGCATCCGTGTCAGTGGAGGCGAAGCATACAGCGCCGTCCAGTGACAAGGACTGGTGGGACATCAAGCGGAGTGAGGCAAATCTTGTTTCATAGGCATGGGGCTGTTGGAGGGATGGTAAAACGTTGTGAACATGTAAGACACACGAACAGCAATGACACAGCCAACCTTAGCTTGTGAATCTGTTGAATCTGTTGCATCGTATCCCAAAACCTCCACGGAGGAGTTGAACCAAAGCGGATGCCATAAGATCATAAGAGGTGTCCGAGAGGTGTCCGTCCCAGAGGCGTCCCAGGGGGGAGTTGAACCCGCGGGGGGGGGCCCTCTACATATGAAGTTTTCACGTGATGCGGCGATCTCGAGGATTCCAGCCCCTCACTTGCTAAAGCAAGGACAACTCCAGCTAGCTGATGCTAGCTTTCGTGATCTCTTCATGCACAAAAAAAAGTGAAGATCCGCAAACCACGGAACTCATGTGAACATAAAGGAGAGAAGGAACGGGAAATAAGGTAACATGATAACATGTATTGCCAACAAATCTTTGGCAAAGAAGTTTGGCCTTATGGATTGGGCAGGTTGGTGGTACCCACTTTTGGATTGAAGGTTGACAGGGCCCGGATTTGTTTTGGGATTGTGTTGATTGTGTGAATGCTTGCCGCTGGGTTATTACTCTTAGCTTCTTCATTTTGTGGGTGTTTGAAGGCGTGGGGGGGCATCGTCGGAGCTGTGTCCATTATGTCCATTGCAGTACTTGCAATATACAGCATCTTCGAGCTGCAAAGTTGTGGCTTGGCTGGTTGGATTGAGACAGCAAGGTGAGGCAGCGGGACTGATGTGGGGCCTTACGTCGCCTCGTCCCAAATCAAACTGTTACCCTTTGGTGGCCTACAAAATGGACAAACAATTCAGAATAGGGAGTCCTTGGGTCCTTAATCATGTGTTCACGCTGTATGTTGGTGGAAAGAACTGGTTCGCAAGGTGGCTTAGTGTCACCCACCCTCTTATCAACAGGCCCAGCCGGCGATCTCGCGTGTCTTTTCATCTCACAGACTCAGCGATCTCTGTGGCGTGGCGTGCCACGAAGGCCTTGGTGACGTGCCACGAAGGTCTCAAAAGGGGAAGCCAAGGAGGTCAAAGCGGTGGGGGACGTTCGCTGCTGCCATCAGAAACACCATTGCGGACGCGGACATGTTTCAAGAATGCACACTGGGGCATAAGGCAGTGTCAGTGTAAGCTGGATCTAAACAAATGACTCCATGAGCGGGAGGAATTGCTTCAGTTTCGAGGAGCCCGTGCTGTCCAGCACCAGAAACAAAGTCGCCTTAATGCAATCATCCTCTGAAACTCCTCTAAACCATCATCACTGGTTGGTGATTCATTTTAAATCATATCAATTGTGACGACCATGAATTCCCAATTGTCCGGGTGCAAAAGCACAACATCTTCCCAGGTCCTAGCAGCTCCTAGCACTCCATAGGGTGGACCATGCATTCTTGGAGCTCTGACAGGTCTCTAGCCATGTGTTTGAGCGTGCTTTGGCTCTTTCTGCTACGCCCTTCCAAACATGAGGCCAAGCACCAGCTTGGTATTGAGGATCAGGTCCAAAGTGATGTCTTCGTCCTTTGGAATGAAGGACGCCTCTCCACTGGGCCAAACAACTCTAACAACTCTCTCAGCTTGTGCATACATACATATTGCAAGATTAAAGATATCAATCTGCACAGGTTCACTTCAGTCCTGCTCAGCAATCAAATTGTATTCTTGCGTCTTGCGCCGGCAGCCCTTGTTGTGCTCACGCAAGGATTCGTTGATGGAACCTGGGCAAGAACCTATTTGATATCAACCTACGAAAGCACGAAAGCACTGGGGACCACCAAGGCATGTCGCACTTCCGCGGGCCAGTCCACTTGATTCGCATGTCACCTATATCCAACAATCTGGTCACACCACGTGAGGCATCAATTCTCTTGGAAGAATGACGCCCAAAAACAGCACCAAAATTAGTTTTAACAAGCCAAAAATGCCCAATCAAGGCTCCACCATCTACAGTAACAAGTGGAGCAATGATCCCAAGTGGCGGAGCTCCTTGAGCAACCACTTTTCCAGCTCCTTCGATTTCCCCAGCTCGCGTAGAACAGATGACCAATACCTGGAACAGCCAAGATATTGACTCAGAAGGGCCTTCAGTACTCCAGCGGCACTTAAGGAGTCCACATTGAATTTTACATGGGCTGAATCGAAAAGAACAAACAGTCTTATATATATATTGTTTATATATATATCACATTATACAAAGACACCACATTCACATATGCAACACTTCTGGCATCTGGACATGCTGCACGTCTTTTCTCTCGCTTGGCCCGACATGGTCGTCGCCTCGCGACCACCGCCACATTGGACCCGTAATTCTCGGGACCCTCCTTGGCGAAGCCGGTGCGAAGCGGAGAAAACGTGCGTGTCCAAAGCAGGTTCCTTAGCATCAAAGGGATGTCAACGTTCAATATTGAGATTGCCTAACCTAGCTATAGGTAGGCTCATGGCCTTCAGGCTCTACCTACTTAGGTGTTCGCAAGTTTAATAGCTAAAAATACAATTACCATATTTTGTTCCCCTAAGAGGCATGATGCAGTTCCGGATCATGATCTGACTTTTGCGGGTCGACAGGTTTTCGTCTAAGCTGTTGAAACAAGTGACCACACACGAAGAACCAAGTGGCTGAAAGGATTTTGCAGGATTCCCTTCGCATGCTCTTTCACTAGTAATGAATTGCTATCTCATGCTATCTCTATACTGTATACTCAGGGGCCGTCCCACAGGCTGCACGTGCAGGTACAAATATAGCCAACAAGAAGTCGGTCCGTATAGAATAGAACCACACGCCAGCACAATATACTATAACTTCTACGGCTTTCTGCAGTTTGCAGTGTACTGCTGTATATTAACAATATTGGGATTGCTTAATATTCAAGGTAGAACATGGTAGAACAACATAGAGCAACGACTTTTCACTGCGAACATGTCAGCACAGAAGTGCAACAAGCTGTCCCTTTCTCGTAATGACAACTTCTCCTTGAGGCTCTTCAGCAGCTCAAAGGCCGTGGTGCCCCCGAACTCCTCGCACGAGTCGCGAGTGTTTTAGACGCCGACAGCGTATGAGCTCGCCCCGTTTCAGCTGATACATGACGTACGAAGTCCTAAAGTCAGCTGTTCACCAGTACCTGGACCACCGTGGGGTGTCTATTCAAAGCCCCAAACGGCCGTGATTCGGGGTGTCCAACCACCCCAACTGCGGGTCCTGATATATAACCAATTGGTTTACACTCAACACCAGGTCCTGCCGTCCTGCTGTAAAGAGGGCTGATCCCCCCTCAACATCCCAAGGACTCGACCAATCCATGGTTTTAACAGACCTTATATGGGCGTGTGTTTTGAGTTGTGTTTTGATAGGGAGGTCTCCCACCAATGGGTAGACTGCTCTATTTTCCATTCTTCCAGGGGGTTCTTTGGGAGGTCTCCCTATTTTTAATACACACCCATATCCATCAACTCAATCCAATAAATGTATACACCGACAGGTCGACCCAGACTGGAAGGCTAGCTTCATCATGCTGCCTTCATCAGTCCTCAGTGTGTTTTTAAATCTGGCTCCATGATGTTCCATGTCCATCTTCCAGGGCCTCCTCATCCCACAGGGAGTCACTAGATTCTAACCTCACCCCTAACATGCCGAACCCGGTGCACCTTGAAAACTCGTCTCAAACCGGGATTCTCCACATGGAACATCCGATGCAGGTAAATGGCATTCTCCAGCCCATGAGTTCGGATGACCCTGAGTTCCGCCCAATGCCCAAGTAAGTGGTGTGTGAGCCTCCACGTGACCATGAGGATTTCACTCCGTTGAACCAGCACGATGGAATAAGGGCACCCAATTGGATAGGTGAATCACCCCTGAGTAGATTGGCCCCCGGCACCCAACCGAAACGGCTCCCAGGAAATCATCCCGTTGGAAGTGTTTGGGGGACGTCCTTGGAGGGGATGATGTTGGCCAACATGTAGATCTGCGCAAAGGACTGGCAAAACCTCAAGGACCGGCGAGCCCACCCGCAACAGGAAGAAGGCATGGCCGCCATGTTCTTTCCATAGATGTCCCTCTCCGGCCCCCCCCCAAAAAGAAAGACGCATACATCGTGTTTGGCTCCAGCTTTGCATCTCTGGAACGCCAGAAAAACCCTCATCTCTTCTCACGCACACCCAAGCTGTATCCAGTCACCAAGTTAGCACGACCGGTCCCAAGCTGGGTGTATCCAGTCACCCAGCACTGCTGTATCCGGTCACCAAGTCGTTCCATTTCGACCGGTGGTTCACGCCACGACCGGATCCCACCATCTCTCACCCGGACCCGTCGACGGGACTGCCATGACGGACTGCCTTCAAAACGGCCGCCGACCGGGGTGGTGGCAGGGGGGGTCAGGCAGATGTCCCATGGGTGGTGGCAGGGTTCTGATGAGCCACGAAACTGATGAGTGCCAGGCTTTTGATGCATCAGCTTATAGGAATTCCACTCACCGTCATCTTTCTCGCAATAGACCCAGTGTCCTGAGCAGTGTCTTTCTTGCGATGGCTCTCTTCCGAAACTGCAGGGTCACCGGGCGACAGATTCAGAGTCAGCACCTAATCCCGAGTACCTATTTAAAAAGAACACTCCACCTGAGTTTCACTTTAATAAAAGGGGAGAGGAAAGAAAGGCCCCGGTGTTTCTTTAATAGGTGGAAGGAAATCCACTTCACCTTCCAACACCACCAGGTGTCGAGCGGATTTTACCACACCCATGATACTATCATGAGCGGTTGTTTCATCGCTGGCGAAGGATCCGCTTGGCCACCCCGGGCTTGTGCGTCCTTCCTGGAAAAGGTCGATAAATCATGTGAAACATGGTCATTAAAAAATCCAAGGGTTCAATGAGGCTTCGTCAAGCTGACACGCCCAGCTTTCACCTGACTCGCCCAGCTGCGGACCTGCGAACAGCTTTCTGAACTGGGCACAACCTTTCCAGGTCTTGCCCAATCCCTAGAGGCTACAAGTACCTTCTAAGAAGGTGTTTGGGGAGGGTGCCAGGAGGCTCAAGTCATACCTTCGGAGGTACGACTGGGGCCCTACACGCGCCAGACTCTTCACTTCCACGTTCCAAGCTTCCCACGTCTTCACCCAGGAAAAGTAGCCGCCGTTGGCCCGCAGACACCGAGGGCGACTTAGCACCGCGAAGGAGAAGTACGTCGTGACCCATTTCTTGGCCTGCCTTGGGGCTTTCGAGGTGCCAAAGGAAAGGTGTTTTGTGAATCAGTCGAAAGTGGTCATTCTCAGTCATACTCCCATGCCAGCACACCCTAAGTGGTCATACAGATCGTGCTCCCTTAGCATTGGAGGATTGAACACACCAGGGGTCCATGTACTTTCTGACCTGATTGGAGGAGGGTTCCAATCCAACCCTGTACGTTCATGGTGGTTCCACCGGGCAAACCGGGCCGGTCACTGTCTGTCTTCATCTTCGCAGTGCTTCGGCAGGTCAGCAAGATTGATTCAGAATGCCGACGGTGCTTTCTTTGGCTTCTCAGATGGTGAACGTCGAGTTGATTTGGCCAACATCTTGGAAGATATCTGGAACCAACCATTCTTAGAAGTCTCCATGTCCGAAACCTGTGCTATAGTCAGTAGCTCTTGAACCAACTGAAAAAGGAACATGATTTCTCTCTATAGCATCCTAAAGCTGGGCTCCATAGCGCCCCACCGGAAAGCTTTTTACGCTCACTTCAAAGGCAGCCATGTGCTTACCTCGCTGCACTTTGTCAGGAGGGTTCCGGATTGGGGGGGCAACTGCACACGTCAGGACCACCACGAAAGCTATCCTCCCGTTGATGGACACAGCGTCCGTTGTTGATGGAACGTGCCGCACTCCTGAACACTTGATGGAACGTGCCGCACGTTGAGCTCCAAGCCACGAGATGATGAAGGATGGCCTCAATGACCAGGTCAGTGCCTGCAAACTCCAGCAGCCATTGCAGCTCTGCACCGAGCTCCCCCGAGGTCAGCGCCATCGATTGCGCTGTGAGCAAAAGCGAAAGATCGTAAAGACTACTAAGCTGGAACCTCAATTAATTGGGTGTGGCTCCAACAAAAATGGACTTAGGGATCCCCAGCTTTGAGCCAATGCTCCCTCCCACCGATAGGTTTGGATGCTCCCCGCTTATTGGCCATATATATATATATACATATGTATATATATATCCGATTGGAGTTCATCTGTGCAAAGCCAGCCATGCTAGCTCCATTCTTCCTGGCGATCTGAGCAAATGACTGACCGGATCACTCTAAGATTGGTAGAGTGTTCACCAGTAACTTGCAGGGTTGGAGACTGACTGCGTGGCCTAGTTTTCTTTCTCGCCCAGTCGTTCTCGAGTCATGATGACCTTCTATAACCCACAAACACCTGGAGACCATAAGGATCCCTGGGTTAGGAAACTATAGTTGGAAGGCAGCCGGAAAAAGCCGACAGTGGATGACAGTGGCCAGCTTTGCCTGAGAATGTTCTGTGTCTTTTGGCTCTCTTTTTGTGCGGAATAACTGAGCCCAGGAAATAAAACGAATCCGGACCTTTTGACCAGTTCCTGAGTCAAAAGTCTGTCAAATCCAGTAAAGCTCGAGCCATTCTCTGCATGGCAGCACCAAGTCTTGTACTATAATCTGAGATGTGCACATAATGTGGTATGGACCATATTCTATAAATAGTATTCAGGAAACGGTAATTGCTATATATATATGTGTGTGTGTGTGTTTCATTGTGTTTCTACGTTCTTGTCGCTCTACGGCTCTACGTGCAGTTATGCTGTGGGCAAACTGCCAATGTTCATGTAACACATGTAGCATGGTCGTCGCTGACACCAACCACCAAATACCACCAATGCGCTTTGGTTGCCTTGACGCCCTGCTATCAACCCGAGGCGCTTTTTCACTCCTAAGTCTACACCCAGTCATTTGCCGGGAAAGCCTCTGGAAGGAGGCTAGCCAGTAGTAACTTAGAGCTAATCGGAACATAAACGCAGACCCTCCCAAAAATCAGCATGCATAAGGAAAACATTGCAAAACACTGTCAGGTGGGCATATCATGCTAGTCTTTGGAAGGGCAAAAAAAACAAAAACCGCTGGGAGCTCCGTGCCAGTTGCAAGGGCGCTGGGAGCTTGTCCACCAGCGAGATGGACACTATACTACACTCTGACGCACTAACATGGATGCCATTTCCATGTTAGTGAGTCGGAGTGTATATGCAAAACTTTATAATTCAGTCGAGCCCTACTCCTCACTGCCTTACCACCAGGATTCTCAAGGCGCGAAGATGAAAACGTTGCTCATTGAAAACGTCCTCGGCCACGCATAAAGAGGTGGGGAGACATGCCATGGCGTGACATCATACGACAATCCATGACCAACTGATGAGCTAATCTCCTACTCCTCCAGCAGAACATACTAGCAAAATCCACCCCCAGCTCTCTCAATCGCCTCCATCAAAACAGGATACAAAAAGGGCCGATAGTCCCTAACCCCAGCCCGAAGGGTAATTGATCCGCAGTCAGATGTGATCTGCCTTCACAGCGAAGAAGAGTTTAGTGGGACTGCTCGACCAACTCGGTGAGAGTTCGGTTTCGTTTCATCTGGCAAGCCAAATCATGACTGCTGTATGATCAGTGAGTGTCAACAATTTTCACAGGTGGAAGGGCACAGCAAACATGACAATGGTTCTCCGCGAAATCGTGGTTTTGGGTTTTCGCAGCCGAACACCATATCAGTTGAGTATGAGGGGGTAAAATTAGTTTGCTAGTGGTTGAAAGTCCTTCCAGCAAGTGAGCAGTACCCCGGACCAGTTGACTGAAGGGTTTGTTAATTGTTTGGTTCCACCATCTAGGTGCAGTTTGCGAAAAAAAAATGGTGCTACATGGATCTACATGGCCTTGGTTTAAACAACGGTTGTTACCAAACGGGGGCGGAAAAAATCCTCTAACAAAGGTGATCTTGGAAGGAGTAATGAGGATTATATTCTAAATGATCCAGGTCCGCTGCAAAACATCAACCGTTCTGATTCCACAACACGAAAGGACCGCCATCCGCCGTCAATGATGATGGATGACAAATGAACAAAACACCCGTCCCAACAAAACATCCAATGAGTGAAAACCGTGTCCTTGATATGTTGGAAAACCACCACCTTTGTCCTTGATATGTTGGAAAACCACCCATTCCTCTACACACGGTTTCTGTTTTCCAAAACATGTCCGTTCAACAAGGACATCATCCACACATGTCTTCATCAGACTCTGTTAACACCATGTTGGCACAATGGAACCGCAATCCTTCCACACCGGTTATGTGACCAAAGCCACAGCAGCTGCACGATGCTTGCGCAGCCAAGTCACAGGGATGAAAGTTGGCTTGTCCGTTTACAGTGGGCTGGCTCCAATCGGTCGATCTGGATATGTCCTTAGTTGTTCGGGGAGCGTGGGATGCATGGCATTTCGCGGGTTGAACATCATCTAGTTTGCTTCATCAAAATATTCCCATCTCCCACAGATAAAATCAATTCACTCAACTTACCCTGACCAAATCATGATTAAATCATGTGGTGCATTGTATCGGGGGCCCTGTATATTATCAGGAACACCGCCCCTCACAATCCAGCAAACCTGACTCATGAAGAAAACTACACGCATGGAAACTTCGGCTGCATCGAGCGTTGTGCCAGTGGAAAAACTTCCCAAGAATCCTACCTCAGCAACCAAAACACCAATTATGATTGAGTCTGACGCGTCGTTCCTACACAATCACTTTGTTTTTAAACATCCACTTCCTTGTTCAGTTCATTGTGAGCCAAAGCTCAGGGCACTGGATCGACTGGATGGGCAGCGCATGAGAATGAATCTGAGCCCTGCATACCAAAGTTTCTCGAGACCGGTTTTGCACATGTCATTGTTCTGAGGGCCCACGTCGTTCAATATCAGTCTTTTTGGCCCGGCCCCCCCCATGTGACTTGCAAAAGTAGCTACCCCATCTGACAAATGCGGGAGCCCAAAGCCACGCCTTCTACTTCTAAAGGCATCCTTAACGTAAGCTACATCCCCAAGCGGTTAACCAGTGGTAACCCTACATTCAAAGAGGTCATGAGCCCGGATCTCATGAGGTCATACGTTTGGGTAATCTCAGGAGCCTTCAGCAATACCGGATGTAAAACCCAATGCAAGGAAACAATCAGCTAAAGAATCTATAAATAATGTCCATACAGGCCTTGTGTCGGGTGACCCGAGGTGAGTTGCCCCAGCAGGCGCATTAGCCCATCGTCCTGGTGGCAGGTTGGCCCCAAGGCTTGCTCAAGCCCTCACACCCGGCCAGCGGTATGGTTCCTTCGAGGGAACTGGGTAGGGCTGCGGCATTCTAATCACAACATCATAACATACAGTAACTGCCTGTAGCTCAGTCCAGGCATAGGGCAGAGGCGCAATCAGCACAGTCTGAGCGGGGCACAAAGAC